ATTCCAAATAGAATTGGAGATACTATTGATATTGGTCCTAAAGCTTGCACAAAACATAGCCCAATACTTATTTGCTTTAGTTTGGATGGAATTAGTAATTGAAGAAACCTCATAAAGCTACTTGGAACTCACGCATTTGGATTATCTTTTCAATTGATTATACCATCTATAGTAGGGTATTCATCATTATTTAGAGACATTTAACTTATATATGATTTAGTACTGACTGCTGTTGCTCTGTTCAACTATATAATTAACTGCTTTTATTGTATTCTTTTTTATTTTATTAATAAAATCAGAGGCCATATCTTTAAAATAAACCACATCTGCTCATTTCTCAGTAAAGAATATGTAGTTACCACAATGACCTTTTAATTTCCTTTGAAGACATTTGATTAAATGTTTGCTTTCATCATTTCGATTAATTTGGTGCATCTTCTCGTAAAGCTTATTCAATGTGCACAACTTAATATCTGCATCCTCTTCTAACCAATAACAAACTTTTTTTAAATGATTCTTATATAGATAGATCAAGGGGACTTCCTCTTATAATTTTAGATGTTATTGAAGGCTAAATTTTGCTATACATGTGTTGCCATACATGTGTTGCCATACATAGACATAATTAACCGCAACAAGATCAATGCAACTTTCTAGACGTCTACTTTATTACTGTTTATTCCTCGGCATCATTTCTTTCAAAACAACATTCAATAAAATTTTTACAGATTTGTAAAGTTGTTACTATAATAACAGGGCTTCTTTTATTGACTTCATTTTTTTCGCAAAGAAATCAACCTTTTTTCCGGTCAAAAGAGTTCCCAAGAATAGAAGATGATACCAAAAACAGTTTATGTTTTTTTTTGTGTGTGCAGAGTTCTATGATCTACAAACATCCTTCTGCAGCTATGATTAACTAGAGCTTTATCTATTAGGTTCTTATAGATAGAGCTCTAGTTAGTTTTTATAGCATGTTAATGCTATCAAAATTAGGAAAAAAAAGGAAAATGAAAGAATAATCTTTTTACTCCAGTATGAAGTTTTTTTTTCTCTTTTGTGCTGAACTTTATTGGTGTTTTCAATCCCTTCAGCTTGACAATGACATGTTATGTCAAAAATAAAATCTTCTTTGCATATCAAATACTTATCTTCGACGGCAACTTAAGTCATCTAAAAATAAATCTATGAAATGCAATATACCGACTCTATGACTTTGGAGCATTCGATACCAAAATTCATTTATAACTATAATATCTACGTAAACTTCATATTAATAGTTTATAAAATGTTCTATTAAAAATTTTAATTAAATTCAATATTAAACATTAAGAACGTTGCATTAAAGTAATAAGCTTTCCAACGATGAAAAGTGTATTTTTGGCATTACAATATTTTTTAAAATAAATTTATTATAGACCATAAATATCAAGCAAAGCATTCGTTGCTTAATTATAAGATACCAAAAACTTTGTTAAAAGAATCCGAATTCTCAATTACTTACCAAGGGCCACATTTGTGGAACTTATTTCTCCCAAATAATAGAAAAACTTCAATTCAACTTTTTTTCAATTTTATTCTTTTTTTTTTTTTTTTTCAAACTTTTGTTAAAAAAGCGATGTCACCCTTTACATCATTACTTGCAGTGGCGTAACTATAAATTTCGGGCCCCTCTGCCAAAAAAGTAAAGGGGGTCTCTCTACTTTTTACTTTACTTTAAGTTTTTTCAACGTTTAGAAATTCTAAACGTTCTAAATGTAACTTTTTAAAAAATTGCTTGTAGGGATACGTTAAAAATTATAAATTCATAAAATGTATTTGATAAAACAGAAATAAGTAACACTCATATTATTATTACCAGTTATATTATTCATGTGTAAAATTTGTAAATCTTTGCGCCCCCCTGCCTTGCGGGGTTATGCTCGCCCTATTACGACACTGATTACTTGTCTTTAAATTTTATTTATTTTTTAATTTTAAGTTGTATTGTATAAAAAATATATAAAAATATAAAAACAAAATAAAAAATGTGACACTTTTTTATTTAAAAGTATTTAATATTATTTTATTCAGATTGCAATATATTTTTTTATATGATAGATTATTTTTTATATGTAAATGATACAACGGATTATTTTTTATATGTAAATGATACAACAAATATGTAAATATATGTATGTATATATATATACATATATATATATATATATATATATATATATATATATATATATATATATATATATATATATATATATATATATATATATATATATATATATATATATATATATATGTATATATATATATATATATATATATATATATATATATATATATATATATATATATATATATATATATATATATATATATATATATATATGCCGCAACTTATAGGCTTGATAAGCTATCCTCGAGCAAGCCCAACATCGAACAACAAAAATAATATCAACTACTAAACACCAGTCTTGTGAAAGTCAACTTTAACAGCTCGGTCTAACAACACTCGAAGAACACCGTAAAAGAGCAGAATTAATCGAGCAATTTAAATTCACGCGTCAACTAGAACTTGTCAGTTTTTTCGCCCCACAAAAACTTTAAAAAAAAAAAGCCAAATATATTTTAAGAGGGCAAAAACTAAAATACCAGCTTGTTTAAAATTGTAAAGAACGACATTACTTTTTTTGAATAGAGTTGTTGTTACATGGATTTTTTTTTTGTCGGACTTTAAATGCGGTGACCAGGCTTGCACAGCAAAATCAAGATGGGGGTGAATGTAAATGAGATAAAGTGTGCGCCATAAATAGGAACTCCAACTGCGAAAAATATTTTTGAGTTGCCCTAGCATTCTATTTGCTATTGATGCAGCTGATTCTACTTGTGGTCTGTTTAAGTTTAAGTTATGTAGACCATCACACCAAGGTCTCGTTTAACTACAGTCATTTCAAGTAGATAACACCATTGAGTATTCGCGCGTCGACTAGTTAGATGCGTGGCCAACATGCATTACTTTGCATTTCTCAATGTTGAAATGCATTAATGAGTCAAATGTGACCATTCCACTGCTTTGTCAATGCCAGTTTGGAGAGTGATGTTGTTCGACTCATTTTTAATTATAGCAATTATTTTACTGCCGTCAGTATACAGTTTCATATGATGAGTGATGTTGTTCAGCAAGTGATGGGTGATGCTGTTCGGCAAGTTATTAATGAAGATTACGAAGAGCTATGGGCCCAAGACCGAGCCTTGAAGCACGCCACTAGTGACCGCTTTCCATTCAGAAATGATATTCTTTTGTAATGTATCACTAGAAAAACTTGCTGGGTTGACAACACAATTTGCTTCAGTACAACTTTCAAAAGCTGGCATTGGGCCTTCGGGTTCCAAATCAATAACAGATTGAAAATAGTTATTCAACAATGAGCACATATCGCCAGTATCTGTAGTGATGTTGCTAACAGCTGTTTCTAGCAATGTAATAGTGTTCCTCACGCTCTGCTTGTTTCGTACATGTGCATGTAAGCGTTTAGGATTGTTTTTGGACTCCCTGGCTAGTATCTCTTCGTAGTTGCGCTTGGCAGATTTTACTTTTTTAATAACGTTTTTGCATACGGTGCAATGTGATTCTTTGAGTAATTTGTGCATATATCGACCTCCATTAATGTACTTGGCCTAAGGGGCGCGTTTAACTTGACCGCCTAAGTAAGATCTGGCGTTACCTATTGCTTCTACTTTTCAGTAAACGGAGTATATGGGATGTGTTGTTTTTAGTGTTTAATGGCTTCATTATACACGTTTGCTAGGAGCTGGTAGTTATCGTTTGCATTTAGATCAGTGAATTCTGTTTCCCAATCAACAGCTGCGATGTCCGAAGATATTGCCGCGTAGCTTGCTCAGCTCCAAATAAGTCGAGATCGTAGCAGGCAAAGTAGGCAAGTTGTCAAGGCCTGAAACAGCAAGTTGACCTTCAATGCAGTGTGCCTGTCCCATTGGAGTGTCGCCGAGAGAGTCACCTTGTTCAATGAAGATAGCACGGTCTGGCTTATTTGTTATGATTAGATTAAGCGTCTAGCACACTTGATCTGAAGGGCTTGAAATTTAGAAGTTAGGTGGATCTAAAGTTATTGGATTTTTTGTACTGGAAAAACCGATTTTTACATAATGATTTTGTTTATAGTGGTCTTAAGAGATGAATAATATATAAGTGAAACCATTAAAACCTAGTACTATACATAGTTATAACCCACAACAATGTACTTTCTATACATAGTTGTAAAGAAATTGAGTCAAACCAATTGATGCAAAAAATCTTAAGATTTTTGTCTAATTTCAAAAAAAAGATATAAGAGAGTGAAGATCATGAAAATTACGTGTCAAGTATTTTTCGTTGCGCTGCGGAATTGCTACCCATATTAACGTTAATTTAAGGTCTTATTAAGTTTTAATTTTTATTGTTAATTTAAGATCTTCTTTTTTTTATTTTAGTTTTGATTTTACTTTAAATATAATTTTATAAATTAAAAGAAAATCTTTAGAATTTTTTTTAAAGCACTGTATTTTTACAGTATAATCTTAGATAAAAACTAAAAGCTTGAAATCTTAATTCGTTTGAATTTATTGTTTTATCTCAATATTTATTATTTTTCAACTAATTTATTTTTAGGTATTAAATCTGTCTATTTATTCTAAAATCCTACCCTAATCCTATTAATCTTATCCTACTTTAATCATACAGAAAATCTTATGTATACCTTTTTAAATAATTTTATATACATAGTATTTTCTTTTTATATAAGTTTTAAATAAGAATATCTCACAAGTTAAAAATATCTACTATTTCTTAATTTTCAGTCAAGTTTCGTCAATAAACTATGTCACGCTTTATGGCTTGTTACTTAAGTTAAGATGTTGTGATGAGGTTGGTCTAAAGCGTGACGTAATTTATAGAAGAGCCCTAGTAATATTAAAAAACAAGAGATTGCGAGATTAAAAATACAATAAAAAACATTTAATTTCTTTTACACACAAATAACATTACAAATCAATGAATTAATTGACCATAAATTTTTTTAATAATTTAGTCTAATAAATAGTTAGACATGGTATTATTTATTATGTCTAATAAATAGACATCAAAAATTTTTAAATAAATACCAACACCTGACCTAAAAAAATATTTGATATAGTTCTAGTAAAATTATTTTTTTAATTATTATAATATGTCTAGCTAATTTAATTTGGCTTCTAAGCTATCGGCGTCTGGCAATATGTAAGAGATGTCGTCCCAAGGATGCCGATACAGCCCTTGTTTAAGTCTTTTTTGGTCTAGATGATGTCCTAAAAATATTGTTTACAAATAAATATGAAATAAATTAAAAAAAAAAATGCATCCTAAACAAATTTCTGAGAAATCAAACCTTATAATGTATCTACGATATTATTTTATATTACATTCATACTTTACGTATCAATGATTCATATTTGGCGCATTTTATTTACATAATCTTTAAACTACATTTTACAACTTAAACTACAAATACATTTTACAAATAAAAACTTCATAAAATCATTATTTTCTTTAAGTAAAAAATTAACTCCTATACATTATTAACTGAACTTTCTGGTATGAACATACATTATTAACTGAACTTCAATTCTGGTATGAGAATTAAAGTTGATAACATGAAATATAGTTAACTGAAATGTTATATGAAATATTATTAACTGATCTTTCTGGTATGAACATATTTTAGGGGTCCAAGACACTTTAACTAGTTAAAATTTAACTAGTCCCTAATAATATTAAAAAGTTTTTGAAAAGGATTTCAAATGAAGTAAAGTTATGTGAATATTTCATTATATTTTTATATTTGCTATGTTTTATTTTCATACATACATACATATTCATTTTTGAACTTGGGGAGTATACACAGATAAACTGCAGCCTTATCGGAAAGTTTTACTTCCGATTAGGCTACAAGCAACTATTTAAATTAGGATTTTTTAGAAAATAATAAGAAAGAAAAAAAATTGACCAAAGGCTTGAAAATTTGTAAAAAAAAACTTTTGAAAAAAAAAATAGATAAAAGTTTTTGAGCATAAAGGAACAGTTAAAAAATGTGACATAGCTGGATATTGAGTCAAGTAAGATTGTGTTTTGGTCAATGGAACAAAATATGAAAGCTTGCTTAAGCAGCAACCAAGGTAGTGTTAGTTGAAGAAAAAAAGAGGGAAAAAAAAAATGAGACAGAGAATTAACCTTGGCAGCTAAAGCAGGCTCAATTACATTTATAATGCAGAAAAAAAAAAAAAAAAAAAAAAAAAAAAAAAAAAAAAACATAAAGCAAACTATATTTATAATGTCTTTTCAAATCTTGTCTGAAAGAGCAAAACTAGAAAAATATGTCAAAAATATTGTATACAAGAACAGATAAAAATTTTTTTGTATAAAGATTAAAATCAGGAGTACAAAAATCATAATAACCTCAGCTAACTCTGCAACTGATTGAATGGTTCTCATGAGAGTTCAGTAGTGCAAGATAATTCAAAGATAAGAAATATAATTAAAGTTGAGGATAGAAAGACCAATATATATTTAATATAATACATCATATTTATATATATCCAGTGTGGCAAATAACGGCCGGAGAATGGTTTACTATATTGACCTCCCAAAATGAATTCTTACTGATCATGGTTGAGCAGTTGAAAAATAGAGTTTGACAAATAAAAAGGATTTAATTTGGAAAATCTATACTAAAAATTCATATAATCATTTAAATTTAAAAAAATTGTTTAAAAAAGTTTTATGATTTCCATAATTCACTTCGTTGACGAATATTATGACGTAAACATTTTTTTTGCTTCCTTTACTTAAATTACATTATTTTACTGGTGGTGAAAATCTTTTTTTCATAAATGATTGAAGTTCTTATTTTATTATTATTTTCATTAAAAAATTTTATATATTATTTTAATAATAATATATAATAATAACTTTATTTAAATATAATATACATAATGTAAATAATATAATTACTTTATATAACTAAAAAAAACTTTTTTTTTTCAATTCTCCTTTTTTTTTTAATACTTTTAAAAAATCTTTTTATTTATTTTCTCGTAAGTTTTTGCTGCCTTTTTTTCATTTTGTTTTTAGGTATTAAATCTGTCTATTTATTCTAAAATCCTACCCTAATCCTATTAATCTTATCCTACTTTAATCATGCTGATAATCTTATGTATAGCACCTTTGTCAAATGTTTCATTTTGAAATTAGTGTTTAAATGTTTCATTTTGAAATTAGTGTTTAAATGTTTTATTTTCAAATTAGTGTTTATAAGAATCGCATTTCAAGTGACTTGTATGTTTACCATCATTTTTATTGCAGCAAAATATATATCAAAACTTTAAAATTTATTTTTTTAACTGCAATACTTTAAATATTTCAAACACATTAAAAAATCTCATTATAATTTTTATATTAAATATAATTGTGACATTTGTAAAAAAGTTACATATAAATAAAAAGCTTACCTATAAATCCTATGGAACGACCAACAACAAACAAACCATTTAATGCACCAATTGACATGTATTCATCGGCTTCCTCTCTAATCATTAAACCATTAACTTCAAATTTTCATAATCAAAAAATTTTATATTGATTTACACTATATTGAAGGAAAAGCATTGTTATGTGGTTTAATTATGTTAACTTTTTTTAAAATTTTGCTTTATTAATCATTAATCATCAGAGCAACTGTAATTAAACACAATTGAATGTGCTATTATGATTATTTAAATTATTCATTAACTACTATCTATAAAAAGAGAAAAAGGTGAAAAGAAAGCGCTTAATAGTTCTTTAGAGAACTGCTAGTAAACATTTTAGGATAAAAAAATTTAATATATAAAAAAACATTTTATTTAAATTTCTAATTTTTTAATCTATTTATACTAAACGTTAGTAAGTTTAGTAACTAAAATTTAGTAAGGTCTGTATAGGTTGAGTACTTTGCCATATTAATTTTTAGTTTAAACTAATTGTTATAATTTGCTCAAATATTTACAAATGACAAGACAACATTAGATATTTGGTCAAGTTTTCCTATAACTATGTTAGTATGGAGATTTGAATAAAAAAAAAATTATTTTACCAAAACATTTCTTTAGCTTCAAAGAAAATAATTACTATCTCTGGTGAGTATCTGATACTTCATAATATAACATGTAATTTTTTATTCTTTATTGTACAATGCAAGCTCTAGGATTTTTCAATAAATAATAAAATTACCAGTTTTCTAAGGTTATTTATTAAAGTAATATTTATTTCAAGAAATATTTACATACACAATTAGAGTTAGTATTTAACAGAAAAGGTTCATTAAAATTTAGTAAGGATAGGTTGAATAAAACTAACTCTTATAATTTGCTCAAATATTTACAAATGACAAGAAAACATTAAATATTTGATCAAATTTTCCTATAAACATTTTTTTTTTGCTATAAATTCACATAACAAAAATTTATTATAAAATAAATGTAAGCCCTTAGCATTGATTACTGCGTGACAGTGACAAGGCATTGAGTCCACCAGCTTCATAATCACAATAATTTTGATTTTTCCCCATTTTTGTTTTAGAATAAATCAAATTTACTTGATGGTTTATTTATAATGTAAAATGTTGACACAATCAAACGTCTTTTGAGTTTTGCAAATATGTTTGGAAGACGTCCTACAAAGAAACTTTTAATTTATATAAAGAATTGAAAAGCACACTTAAAGATTTGCTAATGAACATTTGAATTGGGCAAAAACTTGTGAAAAACTTTTTCAAAACCAAAGAAACTCAATTAATCAAATAGCCTTAGCAAAGTCCTGACTTTAATTTTATTGAATGTCTATGTAACCTCATTGATTGCCAAATTTCAGGTCAAAAACCAACAAGTAAGAGTGATTTATTAAATACTCTGAAACAAAAATGGGGAAAAATCAAAATTATTGTGATTATGAAGCTGGTGGACTCAATGCCTTGTCACTGTCAAGCAGTAATCAATGCTGAGGGCTTCCCTACGAAATAATAAAGCAATTTACTTTAAAGCATTTTCAATTTAAAATATGTTTAAAAAAAACATTCAATTCAAATTTTTTGTTTGTTTGGAAACTTTTGCACATGCATACTTTAATAAAATGAACTTTTAAGATTAGATTGCTTAGATTAAATAAAAATTCATTTGTTTTTAGATTTGTAATCAATTTTTTGACATTTAAGTGAAAATTGAAAGAAATTGGATTTTTCATTCAAAAGTTATCTCAAGTTACGTTCTTGTCCTGTTACTTTTGCACACTACTGTAAATTTATAACAATTTTTTAAAGGAAAATTACAATTACGATTATTTTAATTTTGTCTACCATAGCTCATTATTTTATTTTTATTATTATGGACTTTAATTTTTAATTACAATTTCAATAACATATAGTATTTTAAAATATTAACTTTTTCTTTTTATGACAATGAGCTAACCCAGGGTTCATGGCACTTTTAGAAATCCAATTTCCCTGAGTATTCCCTGATTTTCTCCTCTTTTTAAGTACTTTTCCCCTGAGTTTGAGAAGGCTCTCATTTCTTAATTTCTTTATTGTTTTTATTGGCTTTTTTGTTTCATAGTTTTTTGTTTTTTTTTAATCAAAAATATTAAGAATGAAATGAATTTGGTAAATGAAATAATGAAAACAAACAAATATTTTAATAATGATTTTATATATTTTTGTTAAAATTAATAAGGTTTATTTTTGATTATTTTTTGCTTAGTTATTTATAAAGCTTTGTTAATAATTATTTTTAAAACAGGATTTCATAATTTTATAATTTGTAGCATTGTGAGTATACCACTATTATTATTGGTTAACAGAAGTTTTGTTTAATCTAATGACTAAATTATTGTAAGTCTCATCTGCTCTAAATAATGAAAAAAAACTTTCATTTCATAGCATTAGCTTTAGAAATTACCATCTTGCAATTTAATGGTAAACACTAAAGTCACTTCTGAATAAATTAGAAAACACTATGACCTCTCTAACTATTCTATGATTAGTCTTCTCTTAAAATTTTAAGATTATTAAATTTTTTTTTTAACGACAGTATTAAAGTCATTCTCAAAGGCCAACACTCTCCTTCTTTTCCATTTTAGGAGTATCACAACCCGGGGGGAAATCGGCTCGCGAATAGCTAGCTATAATCGTAACACTCTTCTTCATTTCCACTTTAGGAGTATCGAAATAATCTACTAACAACTTGGGGCTTACAACAGCATATGGATTTTAACTCCAAAAAAAAACTCATTTATTTACTGAAAGCAACTATCATAATACTGCTGACATTTCTTTACCAACAAATAACAACTCTATCTCAGACAATATCCTTAAGCACATTACAAATGTAGTTAATAAGTAGTAGCAAATAAAGTCTCTGAACACTTTTTTTTTACATTTAAAGGATATCAACAATTAGGCAACATTTTAATGTCGTTTAAAAGTTAAAAAAATTAAAATAATGCAGAAGTAACAGGTGATGCGTAATTAGTGACACAAAAGTTAACTTAGTTTTGCTCGTAATATAATCTTTTTCATTAAACCATATAAATTTATTTTGGTAAATTGAATATTCTAGTTTTATTAAAAAAAAAATTATCCAAAAAAAAAGTTAAACAGCCAAGAAAGAGCAGCTCTTCAAAAAAGGGTCAAAATTTTTTTTGTAAAAAACCCAAAAGCGACCAAAGCCGAAGCCGCTAACCATTTTATTAAAGAAGAAATCGCTCGCAAAACAGCATATAGATATATCAATCAACAGCTTGATGGACAATGTTTAAAAATAAAAAAAAATTCTGGTCGCCCGTCATCGTGGACTCAAGAAAAAAAAGCGAAACTTAAAAGGTTGACCAACAATTGAAAAGGTGTAAGTCAAAGAAAGCTCGCACGTAAATTCAACGTAAATCAAGCAACAATTTGTAGACAATTAGCCAAAATGAACATAAAATATTGGAAACGCGAAAAAACACCGAAATACAATGATGAACAACGTCTAAGGGCACAAAAAAGAAGTCGAAAACTCGTCAATCACCTCTACAAAGAACAAGGTGTTTTAATTTTGGACGACGAAAATTACTTTTGTTTTGCTGGGGATAAAATGCCTGGAAACGCCGGTTATTACACAAATGACAAAGAAAAATGTCCAGAAAACCTGCAATAATTATGACTAGAAAGTTTTTGTATTTTAATGGTGTTTTTTTTATTTTATTGTTTTATAATATTTCTTTAACATGTGAGGAATGTTGTTACATCGACTGACAGATTGGTAAAACGTGTGAGGAGTGTTGCCTTTTTACTGTAAAACATGCGCATAGTGTTGCTTTATTGACTATCTTATAACCTCATGCTACAAAGGAATGCTGCTACAACAACTATCTTATAGCTTGCTGCTACAAAGGGGTAGTGCTACATCCAGGCTTGGTCGGGAAGCGGGAGCGATCGCTCTCGAATACTGACCACGGAAATTATATTTAGTTGCGTAAAACTGGCCAGGTTTTTTAGTCGTTTTGAGAACATTTAAGTTTATGTACGAAACAAAAAATTTTTGTTTTACGGATATACATGGAAACATAAAAAACTTGAATGTTCTCAAAACATCTTTGTGCGAAAGAATAAAAAGAATATTTGCGAACACTAAAAACCCGCCAAATTAACGAACTATTGGTTCAAAAAATACGCTGATTAAGTGAAATAAAGTTCTAGAGTATTCTGTTAAAATGTTTTAGAAATTGTATTATTCACGATTTTTTACATTTTGAGATTTTTGTAAATGTAATTTTGTGTATTTGTTTTTTATCGTAATGTATCTTTTAAAGCAATTTTTAAGATTTAAACAAAGACTTACAAAAATAATTGTATTTTCAATGAAGTTATAATTGTTAAAGTTAATAAAACTAATTATGTAACAAACATATAAGAAGTTTCTGGTTACTTAACACAAACAACGCATACAAAGTAACTCGCGGATGAACAAGCATCGCGCCTGAGGTCACGACAGAACACAAATATATATAGCAAATAATTAGATATAAAGAAAAGTTTCTAGATATTGGTTTACTAACTCTAATTATTTTTGCTTAAGTTGCCATTCTTAAAACTCGTCATACTTTTTTCTGCTTTAAATACTAATTAAAATTTAAAAGCCCACTCACTAAACATCATCAGCGATATTGTAAAGCAGTTTCGCTTCTATTTTTAACCTTTTTAGTTGATTTCTATCTTGATAATTTAATTTCTATAGTAATTTAATGATTTAATTATTTCATTTGTTTATCTTACTAAGAAGAATCGCTTCAAATATGTTAAACTTTTCAAACTACGCGAAACATAAAATAGGTATTAAAAAAATTAACTTTTTTTGTTTATAAAATAAATTAAGCTTAAGTAAATTTAAATTTTTTCGCGTTTAAAGATATTTTATTTGCCTATTTTTTTTTTGTAATTGTCTCTCATCGGTCCAATTAATCTTCGTCACTTTTTTTTTTTTGGCTTTTTAAAATGTTCTCAAAACGACTAAAAAATCTGGCCAGCTTTTCGCAACTAAATATTATTTACGTGGTCAGCAATCGAGAGCGATCGCTCCCGCTTCCCGACCAAGCCTGTACATCTACTATCTTATAAAATTGCCAGTATTTAATAAATAGTAAATACAGGCATAAGTTTATAATATACATAGTATAAATTTTCTCCTAGCCCCGCCTATCAACCCCTGCTAAATCTTATATTTTTGCTAGGGGCGGGTCTGTAAAAAGTCCCAGTTATAGATGGAACCAAGGCCCTGGTCACTTACTACTGCTAGTAAAAAATTATTTTATTATTTTTTAACAGTTAGAGACCTTGAAAATTTAAAAAAATAAAGTTTTAAAAATGGAAGGTAAAATGTTAGAAATAAATAGGAAAACAATTTAAAATAAAACTAAACACTTTATATACACAATATTTAAAAACTACCTTGTAAAACAACCACAATGACGCAATAAATCAACAAATGCTAATGCTATGCAACCATCAACATTAAGAATGAGGTTGGGCTTCTAATCAACAAACAAAAAAAACTACATTTAAAATATAAGTTTACTAGTTGTTTTTATTCTTCTAAATATAAAATAAAGCAATAAAATCAGAAAATAAATAAAGATATACCTTTGATGAAGTGATCTGTTCAACTTCTAAAGCAAAATTAAATAATGGCGTCTGAGGAAAATGTTGTCGAATAAATTCTTTCATGATTACTACTCTCATATCTGGATCATTTATCTTTAAAAAAAAAAGAAGGTATGATTCATTTTAATAAAATTTACTAAAAAGTAATTAAAAAACCCATGAATAAAGGAAAATTATTACCGACTTCACACGATGTCCTATTCCCATTATAAGTTGTCCTTTTTTACGCATATCATTAACAAATTCCATGGCTGTTTTACCAGCATCAAAGGCCTCAGAAAATTGAGCTGCAGCACCATCTAAGGCACCACCAAATCGATCACCCTAAAATTAAATTTTCAAATATTTTGCATGTTAAAAGAAAAGTTTAAAAAATAGTCAATTTTATATTTTAATATCATATATATAATAAACTGAAATAAAATAACAAATTTAAAATAAAATTCAGTAAAATAAAAATTATCAATTATTAAAAAAAATTACAATTGTCAGTAGTCCAGAGCAAAGTGAAGATATGAGATCTTTTCCAGCTCGTGTAGTAACAATTGTGTTGTGTGCCCCTGATACAGCTAAAAATTAATACTTATTTTAGTTTAATGAAATATTAAATTATTTTCAAAATTTAATTGAAATAAAGTTGTACTAAAATTTGAATAAAACATACTATATTATTATAGTAAATACTACTTATTACTATAATAAATACTATTAAACAAAATGTTAACAACTTTAATGAAAACCTGGGCCATGGTCAGCCGTTATCATCAAGCAAATCTCAATAAACTTGCACGCATATGAAGGCAATCTAAAATTCATTAATTTATTTAAAAAACAATTTAAATAAACAATTTTAAATTCCTTTTGTTTATTTAATTTTTTTTAATTTTTTCGTAACCTGTGATAAAAAATATGGATGCTGAAATTACATTGGTTACTAAAAACAATTATATAATATATAATCATCTGCCTTGTTTAAAATATGCTGCCATTTTTATAACATAAAACTTATATTGCAATATTTATTAAACTATTTTTGTATTACAAGGCAATTTATCTGAGAGAAACAAAATTTGGATATAAAACCTACATTTTAATTGTGGGTTAAGGAAGAAACCTCATAAACCTTAAATGGTTATCTTCTTATTGGTATGATTACAAAAAAAAGACTTATTCTTCTAAACAGGTTAATGGCTTGAAACTTATCTGGCTGTTAAAAATTGCTTTAACTCTTCCATTATGTCGTAATCAAATAAAAAAATGGCAATAGGAAATCCATCAAATCAATTCATGGGTAACCATGGAGAATAAACGTATTTAAAAAAAATGTATATAATTTAAAGAAAATAAGCTCAATATTCATGTTTTCACACTTATGTTGTTTTTTTTCCTTTATGACATAGAACAGTTAAATACTTTAGAGCATAATTAAATAAAACAATTATATACCTCCTTTGAAACCAAAGAAGTCCCAACACTCCTCCGATACCCAAATCTTTCTAAAAAAAAATTCTTCTATAAAAAAGACTGAACTAAAAAATATCAAAATGAGAAATTATAGAAGTACTAAAAAACAATAAACACATAAATTTAAAAAAAAAAAAAACCTTAAATATATCGGAAATTTTCATTCCAGCATACACTAACTCATGCCCCCTTTCGTCACATATTGCAGAAATAAATGATGAAGGCTTACGAATTAGTCCAAGTCCCTATATTAGGTTACTCATTGCAAATCAGATCAAAATAACTTTTAAAAAAACTATAAAAAAACTAAAATATAAGAATAAATAAAAGCACAACTTACCTGGGCCCAATCATAATCCATAGGTACTGTTGGTGGCTGTACTTCTGGATGTGGAACAATTTTACCATGTGCAACAAGCTTTTCATATACTAATCTGTCATATAATTTTAATAATCAGAAGGCAAAAAACAATAACAAAGAAAAAAATAAAGTTTTTTAATGATAAACATTTCCTTTAAGTGGAAAAAAAAAGGTAAAATCTTTGCATACCAAGTAATTATTATATTGTCATTAAGATCTAAATCATATTTTTACTTATTTTATTATTACTTATTCATTACTTAAATCTTTTTATTACTTTATTTATTTTACTTATTTTTATTATTACTGTTAAAACATTAACTATAAGTTATTAATAATAATTAAAACAATTTTACTGGCATTTAAAAGTTTTTACTAAAAATATAACAAAGTCACAAAAACCTTTAGCATACTTATAGCATAAGTTATATTATTGAAATCATGTTGTATATAAGTTAATGATATTTATTAAGGCAGTCCTCAGAGTTAGGAAAAATGATGTCCACACAAATAGCCGAGCCAAAACTGTTAGAAGTCGGCATCAGGTTGGCAAAAAAAAATTGACACAATGGGGTTACTATAGAACATAGAAACAAGGTCTGCAATTTTTTGCAAACCTTAAACACTTTTAGGTCAGCAGTTAAGTCAGCTTGCCAATGCTGACCCTAATTCTGAGCGTAGTTAAGAAAATTATAAATACAAAAACCAAGTTTAATTGTACAATATTTATAAGCATTTGGCTATAATATTGCATTAAAAAACTCACAAGACTTAATATTTGTAATACAATATTTTGTAATTTATTTTTACTGTTATAAAGCTTTTATTATAGTAAAAAATATTTTATAAATTAAAACTTTACATAGTAAATTTTAAAGTAAATAAAAACAACTGTGAAAACATTTTTTTTGCAAATTTGATAACAATTATTAACATTATTTTTGTAAGACAAAACACTTTTAGATAAAAAAAAAACAAAACAGTTTATCCATAGGCGTTGGAAGCGTTTAAAGAATGATGGGGGGTGGGGGGGAGGAGGGAGGGGGAGGGGGGGAGGAGGAGGAGAATAATGACCTCCAAACAATAGACTTTCAAAAGTTGCGTTTTGACGTTTTCAAAACTGAAAATATTTTTTTCACAACTGATTTATGAGGGCGATATTTTCTTTTATAACAGAAAAATATTTGACTCTACATATTTTGTTATTAATACTTTTAAAGCTGAACTCCAAACTAACATAGGAAAGTTCATGGTAATATACATAAACATCAGGAACTTAAATACAAATATCGATATGCTAAAATACTTTCTTATTGAATGCAAACGTTCTTTCAAAAAAAAAGAACTTTTACATTTTTTTGAATGCAAAAATTTTTTTTCTTCGGAGTGAATTAAATTAATGCTGTTTTGAATTGCGGATAGTGACATTTTGGATGGAGGGGGAGGGGGGAGGAGAAGATATGCTCTGCTCCCGGTGCAGAAATGTTGGGTGGGCAGTTGCCCATCCTGCACCCTATATTCCAGCGCCTATGAGTTCATCTAAACTTTATTGCTGAAAACGAGTGTGAAAGAGTGACAAAATTTTTTAACCCTTTTATTTAGTGGTGGTGGTGTATTACATATAAAAGAAAATACAAATAACAGAAAATACTACAAGTATTAACTTTAATTTAAAAAAAAAAAATTTTTAATTATAAAACTGTAAAAAGAGTATTTTATTCACTGTACTGTGTTAGAGAACACTATGTTAGAGAACACTGTGCTAGAGAACACTGAGTCATGAATTTAGTTATTAAATTTTTTTATTTTTGAAATAAAAGATGAATTTCTGAAGATTTTTTACCTGATAAGCTTGTCAAGTTCATCAAAAGAATTTGGTACATAGGCGCCTGCATCCTTTAATGCCTGAATAAAAATATTAATGATTTTAGCTTAAAACAAAATATAGTATTAAAAAGGAAATAAACAAAAAAATTAAATGCAATTTCAATCACCTTTGAACAAAAGCAACAAAATAGTTTCAAAAGAATGTAGAAGAGTGGGGTGTATGCTGGTGACAGAACTCCCTTTTCTTATTAAAGGGATCTTGGTTGGATATGTAGCTAATATGAAGTGATTTAATCAGGTATGTGTTAAAAAAACAAAGCAAATATATTCAATATCAACAATAGACACCTTTTTAAAACAAGAACATTACTAAAAAAGTTCAAACAATTGTTTACAATTATAAAGTGTTTTTCAAAAATGTTAAAACAACAGTTATAAAGGGTTCTTTAACATTATAATGTACAACTGTTTTTGTGTTTATAAAGAAACAGAAAGTGTTTTATGCCTTCTTGTGTTATTGTAGGCAAAGGGAAAAGTGCAGGAAATCTTGTTTTGCATTAGCAATAATATAGTATATGTTGCTTTAATTTAAAAATAACAATGTTAATTGTTAAAGTTTTTGTAGCTTCTGAAAGTAACAAAATCTAATTTTGTTTGATGATGCATAACAAAAATTTTTAACACAAAAAAGAAAAGTTACCATAGCAACATTTTTAACACCTTAAATCAAAGATATTTTTCAAATTGCTTTATCTGAGCAAAAACATCTTGCCAGCCTCACTTGTTCCTTTATAAAATATGAACTTTATTTAAGTATCAAACATTAGTATTAAAGACAGTTGCAATAGAAAATGCATTGAAAAAATATTTAGGACATGGATTAGAATTTAGTATCAAGCAAATTTTCAGAACAAAAATAAAAAAAACAAAAAAACATTCTTAATGAAATAAAAAAATTAATCAGTGAAAAACTAATACCATAAAAAAACTTTAAAATATTTTTAAAATTTGATTCGGATTATTGCAAGATTGTTTAAAAGATTTGCATAAAAAATAATTACACTCTTCATACAATTCAAATTCATTTATTCTTTAACAATTTACCTTGTTCTTTGCAACAGCTGTTTCAGCCAAATTATTAGCACAAGCATTTGCATGTCCAAATTGCACCTGTAAAATTGTATAAATTTGTATGTATGAATAATTTGCACCTGTATAAATTTTAATTTTTTTGAAATTAAGTTTGTTGTAAAATAATAATGATCTTCATGTTATAGATTTTGAATTTTACATTAGGGATTGACCATAAATTACATCACGCTATAAGGGGGGAGGGAGGAGGGTTGGAGGTTTTGTGACAACTCATACAAAACTTGCTTCTTAAGTGATACGATTTTGTGATGAGGGGAGGGGGGATCTGCAAAAAAGTAAAAAATTGCATGACGTAATTTATGGACGAAAATAATTAAACAACCACGCTGCTATAATAACCATGTTGTTATAATAAAAAACTATATTATTATGACAACAACGTGAGATGGGCCATTATCATTATGATAACACTTGCACAAAAAGATTTTTAGTATATACAAAAATCTCTTTTATACCTCTGTAGAAAGCATTTCAGAACATGTTCCAATACACCATGCTATGACAGGTTTTTTAATTTTGCCATCTCTAATTGCCTCACAAATACTATACTCATCTGTTCCACCAACCTTAAAACAAATATTACATTAAAATTTTAAAATCAATAAGAATTTTAAAAATATATTTAATCAAAGAATACCTCTCCAAGAAGCACCATCATTTTAATATTGGGATTAGCTTCATAACGAAGAAAGTGGTCAAGAAACACAGTTCCAGGATATCTAAACAATGTTTAAAATATCAATCAAATTATACCCCCTTCAAATTAACCCAACTTTTGAAAAATGAGAAAACTCTAACCTATCACCTCCAATTGCAATACCTTCATTAACACCATCGCTGTTTCTTGATATTATGTTATTTAACTCATTTGACAAACCACCAGAACGAGAAACATAACCAACACTTAACAAAATAATTATTTTTTTTATATTTTAAAACTGACAAAATACATTAATCAGATTTTAATCATATTTTTAACAAATAAAGTTTCAATATTAAAGTAAAAAAACCTTCCAGGACGATAAAGTTTGGAAGCAAGTATGTTATCCAGCATACCTCCAGTGTTACCAATTTTAAAGCAACCTGGTTTTATGCCTCCAACCTAAATAAAAAATAGAATTTCAATTAATTAAAATTAGTTCTTCAAAATGTATAAAAATAATAAATAAAAAATAATAATAATAAAAAATAATAATAATTAGAAAATTAAAGTAAATCAAAAAAAGTAGTAAATTTACTGTGGCAGGGCCAATAATGTTGACACCTTTTTCCTTGGCTTTTTTATTGAGAATTTGTGTAATTCGTTCAGGTATACCTTCTGCAATTATAGCAACTGTTTTAAACTAAAACAAACGCTTGAATAGTTAAAACTAAATATTTTAATACCTCAAAAACAACATAACTTAGTGACAGAAAAAACAAACAAAAATATTTTGTTTAGTTTTTTACTTGTGTTTTCCTTTTTATGTTTCCTTACTAAAGTCACAAACAAAAATTTCATTATATACATTATATGATGTTATTATATTTTAGCTTTTTACAAAATTTGACTAATTTTTTACTTGCAATCAATGGGCAGGTAAGATTATTTGATTTGGCAAGAGCAACTTGCCAAGAAAAAGGCAAAATCTTTTATAAAAACCCCTTTAAACCCTTTATATTTCACCTGGTGGGAACTTGGCTAGCAACTATCTAGCGATATTCGCAACAATAAAGACAGCAAATTGGCCACAAAGATTGTTAGCTAAAAAAATATGCTCAAAAAATGGCATTATACTATGAATACCCATTATTTCATTATTTTAAACTGATCACAATGCAAAAATGTTAATTGCATTAACTTGGAGCCGTAATTTGAAATTTTTTTTCCAATGACAAATTGTTTTGTTATGCATTAAAATGTTTTTCTAGTTTAAAACTAATTAAACAGATTATTCTTCAAAACTTTAAAGTAATTCTCAAAATTGACAGTTTCACCTTGTTATAAAAAGTGAAAGCAGTGCAATAATTGGCAGTGATTGCACCTAAAATTATAAATGCTGAACGTGGCTTAACAGAAAGTGCAACATATTAGGAATATTTTTTGAATAAAAATATTTTTAGAGGTGCCTAAAGATCCTTAAACATTTAATGGGTCCCTAATATTAATGAAAAAAAGTTTTTCAAAAGTATGTCTTGTTGGGTCTCAAATGTAGTGAAATTATATCAAAATTTCAAAAATAATACTAATTTTGTATACAAAACATTATTTTAGATAATGTTGCCAAGAAAATGAAATTTTCAAACCAAAAATAAAAAATATGCACTTTTACAAAAAAAAAAAATTAATTATAATTTTTTTGCTCAATGTTTTTTATAAAATGATGAATGCTTTTGAAAGTTTTACAAAAGTTTTGCAACAATCTGTAGACATTAAAAAAAAAAAAATAATAAAAAACAAGACTAAAAAAAAAATATTTTTTTAAAATAAAATCATTTCTTGGTCTAGCCAAAACCCTGAGTTGATAATATTTATATATACATATATACATATATATATATATATATATATATATATATATATATATATATATATATATATATATATATATATATATATATATATATATATATTTCCATGTTTTACTTTTTAAATCAGTCAATCTATGTATATTCCTCACAACTAAATACTGATTTTTAAACTAATAAAATTCTAGAACTACAAAAACATGATGTAGAAATATACCTGAGGGTAAGCAAGTGCTTCTAAGGTTGCATCATATGCTGATCTTAAAGAAGCAAAATTAACAAGCACACTTGCATTGGGATGTTTTTTTGTTGCATCAGCGAAATTAACAAAAACTAAAAGTAATTCAAACTAAAACAATTATTTATAAACCTATCAACAAATATAAATAACTTGTTCATTAAATCGATAAATATAATGTATGTATGTATGTATGTATGTATGTATGTATGTATGTATGTATGTATGTATGTATGTATGTATGTATGTATGTATGTATGTATGTATGTATGTGCAGTGGGAGTCAAAAAATAGATTTGAATATAAAATTTTATTTATTCATTAATTATTTTTATTTTGATAACTGTAGGATCTATAAAGTAATTCATGTATTAATAGTATTGCTTTGTAATAATAGGTCATACTATTTCTGTTATTTTTTTGTATAATTAACAATAGGACAAAATAATAGGTGTAAATAATAATTTCATAAATAGAAGATTGGTTGGAATGTCTATACTACTGATACAATAAGAAAGTTTATTAGAAACTTATTAAATATTAGGAACTTGTAAAGTCAAGGTAAAACATATGATGAAATTGCTGGTTTAATGGGTTAACTCCCAAACAATATATTAAAATCTGTAAAAAAATAAAAGAAATACAAAAATAAAAAACATCAAATATGATCAAGTTATCTTGTTATTTTGCTGGCAATAATTCTTTTTAAAGTTCTTCTACTTGGTCAAGCAATTTTATGCTTTAATATGAACCACATTCAATTGTATACCCCCACCTTCTTTATAAACCTTTACCATCCAATTTTTCTTCTAGTTTTTATCTTCATAAATAATATTGTAAAGATCTGACATCCACTGAGCACCTATATCCCATGAAATATTAAACTTCTAATAAAACCTTCAAAATCTCAATCAATACACCAGAAAAATGAGGCACCTTGCCTGAACCATCTGAACAGCTGATTTCACTTCACTACAGGTTATCCGCTCTGCTGACCCACTAGACTTATTTATCGTACATAAATATCCTTTACTCTGAACTCTTCATTAAGCAATTTTCAAAAATCAATCAATTTTCTTTAACATTTTTTAAAACATCACTAAGAATAATAAAAAAATTCGTCCTTTTTGTCTCTTATCTACCTATTTGAGGTGTATATACTAAGGCTTAATTAGGCACTGAACTTCCAACCGCTATTCTTAATTTTTACACAACATAACAAAGGTCTTGCCCTTTTAAATTTAAATTTTTTTTTTGTATTACTATATTGTCACTGAATTAAAAAATCAGTCATTTTGATGTAACAGATTTTGATTTTTGCTTAATTTCATATTTTCTTGATGTAAGCAAAAAATTTCTATAAATCAGTATGTTGTATCCATCTACTCTAATATTGTAAGTATATAATCTTTCATCATAACAGTATCCCATCGTCCTTAATATCTAGTTTCTATTTTTTAAATGTCCTCATGAAATCAGTCACCATACTCCTCCCTGGCATCACCCATATTTTCAGGGAAGAAATTTAGCTTTGAACATATAAATCTTTATTGAAATATGGCAACCCAGTTTCTTAAATTTTTCAAAAATCTTTGCAACTAGTTTCACACTAAGCTTCTTTTTTAACTTATTATATTTATATATATTAATACAAATAAATATAAATACACCAATATATTCATGGGTGTGATTGAAAAAATTTATACCTTAGGGTGTCCCATTACCGCAAAATTTTAGAACTGTTAACTTTTAAATTGAGGTTTAGACTAAGAAAAAAATATTTACCAACCGTACCAAGTATTTTTTTATTAATAAAAACTTTAGGATCCCCCCCCCCCCCCATTTACAAAAAGTTGAAAAAAACCATTTTTAATGTCTTTTTTAAGTATTTTTGCTAAAAAAGTTAACAAAATAATACAAAGACTTCAACTTATTTATAATGTATAAAATATTAATCAATCGTCCCCCAATATTAGTAATCAAGTAGTTTTGAGCAACTTAAATTCTGTTATTGTAAGATTGATACAATTTGCACTGTTTAAAAAATTAAATGTTCATTAAATTTTTATTTTTGTCTATAAAGAGAAGCTCGTTTGCAATGGTCCATACTTTAAGTACTAGTTGAAGCTGCGCAGACTTGACTTTGGTTTTGTAGTCTTGTATAAAGTTTTAGACCTCTCTTGGCGCAGTCATTAACAACTTGACAGTACTTATCAACATTTTTCACATTGTTGTAATCTTTCATCTTCATCCGGTGCTCAAGGTAGTTGCATCCAGTCTACTTGGTTTGCAGTCATCTTGATTAGTTTAAATAGTAGTTAGGAACATGGACCAATTAGAGACAAAAAATAGGATGTTGTTGCCATTGACTTTTAATTCAAAATCAAAAAAAAAAAAAAATTTCTGAAAAAAGGCTTCATTTCTCTTTAAAACGAAATTTATTTTTTCTAATACTGATATATTACTAATTTGTTGAAATAAGGCAGCCAAAACTTTTTAGTTTGCCACATAGGTTTCTATTATATAAGATCTTTTATGAATACATTTTTATACTATCCCAATTTTGAGCCTTTATAGTTGATAATAGTTAGTAATACCATTTAACGAAATCTGGTGCAAATTATTTTACTGATGTTGCCAAATTACAAAACCACTTGATTACTTAATTTGAGGGGACCCTTAAATTAATTTTTTTTAAGTCAAATTTTCTACACATTTTTAATAAGATAGTAAATAATATTGCGTGAAAAGTTGAAGTTGTTACAGAAAATATTTGTTACCATTTTAAGCAAAAATAATGAAAAAAGACAGTAAAAAAGAATTTTTGTGTAAAAAACCCTAAAATTTATTCTAAAAAATACTTTGTACGTATAATCTAAACCTCAATTTAAAAGTTGGCATGATAGTTTAATGATGATTAGTTCTAAAATTTAGCAAAATTTTAAAAACAGAGCAAATTGTGGAATTCTGAATATTCCCATGATACATTTTACTGGTTGCATTTTTATATGTTGCTTAAGAATATTCAATACAAAACATTTTTAATGAAATTTACTATGTTGTAAATATTGAATGCAAACATTTTATTGTGTATCAAAAAAACTTTTACATGCATACAAAATTTTATGTATGTTCAATAGTGTTTTGTAGGAGACGCGTGCAGTCATACATCTTCCCTGACTATGCATATAGACTTTTGTTTTGACAACTTGGACACGACACTTTATATGTTTTGACAATTTGTGCATTTAAAATGTGCGCTGATTAAAAAATAAATAAAAAAATAAATAAAAAAAAACAAAAAAAAAAACTAAAAAATAAACTTTTAACGAATGAGAAAATGAATAAAAATTAAAAAAACTTGCAAAAAGCAAGCTACAAAAATTACATATTTTTAACAAATTTAAAAAAATAATATAAATTTAAATAACATTTTTTAATTTAAAAATGTTTCACTTAATAGACTTTAGATCAAAGTCTTAAAGTTACTTAATTCAAACTTAATTACTTTGAAAAACTGTTACAAACTGTCAGCAGTGCGTACAGATCAAATCACATTAAGTGCTACACCTACAGCTCGATAAATAAATTAACATATTTAAACTTCGTTTGCATTCAAATAATATTTCCTTTCTGCTTTCAAATAATAAATATTTTTATGTTTTTAATTTTTTCAGGTTTATCTTTTATTAATTTTCTCAATCGTTAAAACTTTAATCTTTTTTTCACTTTATGATCTTTTTTTTTTTTTTTTGAAATTTTCTTTATAGTTAGGTTTTTCAGTGCATTTTTAAAAAAGCCCAAATTATACCTGCAAAGAGGTGTGGCCAAGTTGTCAAAACAAAAATTGTAAGCGTGGTCAGGCAAGAGATGTAACTGCACATGTCTCTTGTGAATATCTGGTACATGGAGTGTACATACAATTCAGTCAATATAGGAAAATTTGATGCGCTTTTGACCATATTAGTAATTTTATGCATGTATGTATTTAAAATAACAAAACAGCAACAATAACAAACAAAAAATTTTAATTTTAATTAATTAAACTTTAATTAAATAAACAAACCTTGAATCATAATTTCTTTTGGTCCAAAATAAAATCGCTGATTATGATTTCCACTATAACAAATAAAAAGTTGATTTTTTCAGTTGAATCGTTTAAAGAAAAACATTTGGATTCTAAATATACCTAACATTTTTGAATATATATTTAAAAAAATATCTAAATGAGTAAAATATTTGACTTTTTTGTTATTGGATGTTAACTATTTATAATATATAATTATGTATAATAAATAGTATCTACCCTTTAATTGCTTTTTAATAATAAAGCTCCAACTTTTAATTACAAAGAAAAACATAAAAATAACTAATATATATATATATATATATATATATATATATATATATATATATATATATATATATATATATATATATATATATATATATATATACATATATATATATATATATATATATATATATATATATATATATATATATATATATATATATATATATATATATATATATATATATGTATATATATATATATATATATATATACAGGCCTTGACGGGAAGTGAGAGCTTTAGCTCTCGTTCACACTCCCCTAAAATGGTTTACGGGAGCAATTTACGGCTCTTGCAAAAGTATATTTTTTTCTCTTAAAAGTTTTATTATTATTGTAACTATATATATGCGGTAGTGGTGTAGTGGTAGAGCGCTCGCTTCATAAACGAGTGGTTGCGAGTTCGATCCCCACCACATCCCTGGTAGTACCGCGCTCAACTCGTTTCTCCGTGCAGTGGCCTTGCTCGTCAAGGTTCGTGTTTCGGAGTTATAGAGTTGAGAGAGGGTTATAACCACAAATAAGTAGCCTCCTCGTCTGTAATGGCCTTCTTGGCCTTGAGGAGGTGAATTAAAAAAAAATAAAAAAAAAAAAAAAAAAAAAAAAACTAAAATAAAAAATGCAGTCATTTTAATAATTATCTTTAACAATTCTTAAAATCCCTGCATTCTATTACAATAAGAAAATATAAAACTTTTTTTTATAAGCAATAAAAACAATGCTCATTAAAAGAACTTAGAGAAGCAGCTCGCATAGCTCGCCATGTTTGTTTTAGGAGAGCTTTTCACTGCTCTTACACTCATTTCTTCTTGCCGAGGCCTCTCTCTCTCTCTCTATATATATATATATATATATATATATATATATATATATATATATATATATATATATATATATATATATATATGTACAGACATACAAAGATACATACAACATACATAATAAGTAAAAACACAGATACACACACCTGAAAGGGTAGACAATAGCACGAACAGAATGTTCTTTCCTTCTACAAACAAAATCAAAATCTAACATCCCCTATAAATTGAATAATTTCAGAGTATTAATTTTATCATTGGAAAATAATAAATAATAGAATACAGAAAAAAAAGTAAAATAAACTCAAAAAGAAATTTAATCTTAAACAATCTAATACTTGTTTTTAACTTTAAAATGAAAGTAATAATCAAATAAATCAAGAGCAATCTTTTTGGATTTTAGATTTAGATTTGATGAACAAGCAAGTGATTTGTTAAGCAATCAAATGATAATTACTTTCAAACAAAATCCTTTCCTTAATATATTGATTCAATAAAAAAAATATTTAAAATAGAATTCTCAATTCAATATTACCTGCACTGCCCTAAGCTGCATTCCCCAAACAATTGCTTGTGTTTGGTCAGTAAACAAATCAGTAAAAGTATCAGAGGTTTTTGTTTCTATATCCGGATTACCAGTTTCTTGATTTTGAACATGTGATGACAAAATGTCCTACATATTTTGAAATAAAAACTTTCACTTACCATTTTTCAGACTATTATCAATAAACTTTCAATTTAAATATTCAACAAAAATTGCAATTCTATAAATGTATTAAAACCCTGCGTCTTATATTTAAAACAACAACAAAACAAAAATTATTTGTGATAACAACAATCAAACAGTGTTATTACTTCATTAAGGAATTTATTGAAATCTAAAGATGCATCAACTTCTGTGGATTCATGAGCATTTGATTTATTCAGTGCCATGCCTACTATTGCTGTCATGTGTGTTTCTGGCCCAAATACATGTAGTGGAACACCAAGTTTTTCACCTATAATCACACATTAAACACTTAATATTTCTTACAATCAAACATTAAAAGTGTTTAATGTTAAGAATACTATAGGTATATATAAGTTATAAATAATATAAATGTGTATATGTTGAAAATTTTATAAATTCTATAGAAATCACAGAAATATGTAAGAAATTATAGAACTATTAAAAAAAAAAATGTTTAAATTTATAAACCATTAACTAATTTTTCATTAATTCCTAAAATCATTTGGTTTTAAATTACACTATTTGTAGTACCATTATATTATACAAATATTATACGTACCATAATGTTTTAAAAGTTAATTTATTTTTTCAATTTATAAAGGAATTCAAAAGTCACATTTACTTAATAAAATTGAAATCATGAATTGACACACTGTCTTTGTTGCTGTACTAAAGTGTGTCGAATAGATAATAAATATAATAATCCAATAATAAATAAAAAGATTAAAATAATCCAATAATAAATAAAAAGAAGCTAAAGATGTTTTAATTTTTGTTTTTGTTTTTAAATCATTTAAAAAATTTTTTCACTTAAAAATTTAGATACTATTGAATCTTTTCATTTGAAAATTTTAAAAGTAATTTAACTACAAGTCAGGTAGACATAGGGGAAATGGGGGCATAACCGCATATGGAGGCACAACCATTTTTTAGCATTTTCCTTTGAAAAATGTTATCTAGTATGGCAAAAAACATACCACGGGTTAGTAAAACAGTTTCCTTTATTTCACCTGTTTTGTTTCTGAGAAGTTGTGCATAATAATGTTTATTTTGATAAAAATATTATACTTACATCATATTTTCCCAGACTTTTTAGTGTTAAAGATGTTATCAGAATTAAAGATGTTATCGGAATTTTTAGTGTTAAAGATGCTATCAGAATTATTTCATCAATTGAAAACCATTTTTGATATCAACATAAGATAATAAGCAAGCTATGAAACTGTATTCTTTCTAAAAACTGTCCTTTGGGGTAGAACCCCATAGACGCACAGGAGACACAATAGCATACTTTTAATATTTATTAAAGTTAGGTAATTACGAAAAACAAATACAATCATCACACTTGAATGCATTCATGTAAAAACTTGAATGGAAATAGTTTTGTTTTGAGATGTTTAAAATTAGATTTCGTATTTTTTATTAAATTTTTATGAGTTTTTGAATAAAATATAAAGCTAAGAGTATATCGAATGAGAAAGCTCAGACTGTAAATACAAAGAATGCCTACACAGTATTCAAACGTGCAACAAAATCAGCAAATAATCTGAGCTGTGACAATTGTAAAGAAAATGTATCAAGAAAAGCATACCCCCAATGATTTTTGTGAGGGTGTGGTTATGCCTCACAATGGGGGCAAAATCGTTTATTTTCACTAAGTGTAATTTTTGTCTAATAACATTTTCAAAAACCGTTTACTTTTTTTCTTAATTGCATCAATTTAAAGCTTAATGATGTGTTTATTGAAATAAACTGTTAAAAAAAAATTCATTTTGTTTTTATTTTCATATAACATTAATCCAAACGCTATAGGGGCGATTATGCTCCCACTTCCCCTACATTTTAAAAAACATCACATTAAAGTTGACTATATAATATGCACTAATACTGCATATAATGTACAATACTGTATATATATATATATATATATATATATATATATATACAAATAGTATTGCGTACTAAGGTAAGCAATCTGACTTCATACTGAAATAGCCTGCTGCTGGAGGCTTCAGTACATACATCGACTGACAAATAGCCTGACTCGCAGTGGAGTGCTGCTACATCGACTGAGAGTTTGGGATGGGGAAGCAATTGTTTTATTCATCATTCTTTTTTTTTTTTTTTTCTTCTTTTTCGAAAAAAACGATATAGCTTAAGGTAAGCAGAAAAAGTGAGCAAATGCTTATCAAAACACGCTTTAGTAAGTGTGTGTGTGTGTATGTGTATATATATGTATATATATATATATATATATATACTCTTGCATGTCTCTTGCGTGGCATCAAAAAATGTTTCCCATAAACTGTAGTTTTAAAGAGCGCGTTAATAAACCAGACCAGAAAAAGTTTTAAAAATTTAAAAACTAAATTTTTTTTTTTAATTGATAGACTGCCTGGCTAAACCAGACCCTCAGTCGATGTAGCAGCACTCTCTTGCGAGTCAGGCTATTTGTCAGTCGATGTAGCAGCACTCCCTTGCGAGTCAGGCTATTTGTCAGTCGATGTAGCAGCATTCCCTTGCGAGTCAGGCTATTTGTCAGTCGATGTAGCAGCACTCCGTTGCGAGTCAGGCTATTTGTCAGTCGATGTAGCAGCACTCCGTTGCGAGTCAGGCTAAAAGATAGTCGATGTAGCAACATTTACGCATGTTTTAAAAATGTTTTTTATTAAATCAATAACAAAAACACCACTTATTAAAAAAAACTTTCTAGTCGTTATAATTGCGGTTTTTTAAAAAATTTTTAAAAAACAATTAAATTTAATGTACTTCCGCATAAATTAATTGCTTTGACATTTCGATGACAATCAAAAACAGCTTAAGAGACGAGGTAATTAAAATTGTAGTCATAAGAGACTTTTTTTACATTAAAACGCTCTTTCGACTACACTATAAGGGTATATATATATATATATATATATATATATATATATATATATATATATATATACATATATATATATATATATATATATATATATATATATATATATATATATATATATATATGTATATATATATATATGTATATATATATATATGTATATATATATATATATATATATATATATATATATATATATATATATATATATATATATATATATATATATATATATATATATATATATATATACAACCCTCGGAATAAAGAAAAATGAGGTCGGTAATAATTTGTCGACTTCAATCTTTTTTAGGTTAGCATTAGGTCAGCAAAAATTATTTGATACAAAGGTCTGACCATAAAACTTAGAAACGAGGTCCGCAATTTTTTGCCCACCTCAAACACTTTTAGATCAGCAGTTAGGTCTGCATTGCCGAATGCCGACCCTAATTCCGAGGGTTGTATATATATACATATATATATATATATTCCTATTAATTGACATTTAAATTTACCATTTCTGGTAAAAAACGGCGTTGACTCTTTGACTTTAAAAACAACAAAATCAAGTACACTCCATGTAAAATCCATTAGATTTAATTAGGGAAACTAATTAAACTTTATTGTTTTTTGAAAAAACCACAAAAATGCAACTTAATAGACTGGAATGTTTTTTGTTATAATAAAAATAAAAACATTCTGAATGCCTTTTTGACAAATAGCTGTATACATAATTGACATGTAGAGCATGAAAATAACATAATTAAATAAAATAATTAAATAAGAACTATAACCACAAATATAAAAAGAAACCCTTGATTTTACCGTGAAGTGAAACTAAAGTTAATCGTTATTAAAAAAAGTAGTAGATATACCTTGTCATATATAATGTCAAAGGAGTGAATTAAAAGTAGCATATCATAAACAATATTTTATATACTTTATTAATTTTTAAATAACTCAGTACAGATGTTTTAAAACTTTAGTACTTTAGAAATACAAAAAACAGTACTTTAGAAATACAAAAAACAGCAAACAGCTTAGTATTGTCAACATAGAGTTTACATCTTGATTTTAGATTTATTGAAAGATCATTTATAAATATCATAAATAATGTATTATCACTAAACTTTTTGATATTTGTTACATTAGACTAAGCTAAAACTTTTTTACCAAGAACTACTCTTTAGCATATATTAGAAAAGAACGCTTTAATCCAGTGTATGATTTCTCCACTGATTCCTTATTTTCGTATACTCTAGATTTTATATAGAGTAGGCTCTTGAGTAGAGCACTTTGTCAACCGCTTTAGTGAAGTTGAGATACAGAATGTCAAGTGGTATTTTATTTGCTAAGCATTTTGAGTTGAGACTTTTTAGGAGATTTGAAATGCAGCTTTTTTTGAAACAAAACTATATTGGTCTTTGCAGATTAGATTTATCCAGGTTTAGTCCTTTTAGATCTGAAAAATGGCTGTTATGTTGGCTTTGCCATGCCTCAGAGACATTGCCACATTCTAGTGATTTCTTGTAAATTAAATATTGGATATAACATTACTTAGACAAGACTTGCAGAACATAAAAATTTACTTTGTTGCAACCTTAAGTTTTGTTTATCTAAAGCATTTCCATTCCTAGACTTTTGACCTCTTTTTTATCAATATTAATTAAATTGAAAAATTTTAAAAACAAATAAAATATAAATATTAAGCAGTAGAAAAATTAACTAATTAAATTAACTTTACAAATTCATAACTTATCAAAATAACTTATCAAATTCATACAATTTACATATTATATTATTTTAAAATATACAATTAAAAAAAAAATACATTAACACATACATTTTCCCTAAATATATGAGAATTAAAATATTTAATATAACTATAAACCTAGCTCTCTCATTATCCTTAATCCTTCTTGATAATTAGGACCACCTCTTCGAACATAGATTTCAATTTTATGATCAACAAGCTCTTTTTGATAAACCTTTAAAGCTTTGACAATTCCCTTTAAAAAAAGTTAAGTAAAATTTATGTACACACACCTACACATTTATGCATTTACAAATATCTTGGTTTTGCATGGATGACATCAAAAAAAAGTAATCATTTGTGGGAACACCAATACATTAACTGAGGGTTTGGGCAGGTATCTAGATGTAAAGGGCTTTTACTATAGTCAAAAAATATTTTTAATCTTTTCTTAAAAAAAAACTGTCAAAATCAGCATATTAAAACTTGGAAAATACAAATTAGATAAAATATTAGAACTGTGAACACTTGGAAAAAATACGGGAGAATGTCATTAAAATATTTTTATTCAAAAAATTACAAAAAAATAATGTTAATGTTACTATATATAGTAATTGAAAAATATTCAAATATCTAAATAATAATACTTACTGAAAAGGTGTCTGCTACATTTGTAAAGTTAGCAATCCCACCACCAATGATAAGTATTTTACCTAAATCATCAAACCTTGACATTTACTTTAAAAAGTTTTTAACAGGCATACATTTTATTATGAATTTTAAATAGGTTTAAACATCACAACAACATATATGACATTGCATCATAATAAAAAGGTATATTTATACATACACATGTTGCAAATGCATAAAAATTATGAAAAATTTTTCACAATTTTTTTTCAATGTTTACTATAATCTTTTCAGATAGCGATATCTTTGTTTAAAATTAAAAAAAAATTTTGATATTTTTTGAAATTGTAATTGCAGGTAGTACAACAACTTGTAATTAGTAAGTGTATATATAATTTTCTTTTTTTGTGATATATGATGTTAGAATATAATAGTATATGACATATCCCCATAATTTAGCATTGGCTACTATAATTAACTTCAACACCAAATATCTATTGTTGACATTACAAAGAACATGAACAATACCCTCTATGCTAAAATGAGCCCAAAATCTATTGAAATAAATAGTAAAAATCTATTGAAATATATAAACCTTTTCCAACAATATGATATTATGATAATATGCAAGTTGTAAAAATAATTAAAATGTTAATTAGACTAACAATCAAAATTTAATTTAACTAAAAATAAAACTGTTAAAAGAATTTATTTAGAAAGTTTTCATCATGTTAACATATATATATATATATATATATATATATATATATATATATATATATATATATATATATATATATATATATATATATATATATATATATATATATATATATATATATATATATATTATTAGTCTATTTAAGTCTTGTTAAACTTTAAAGAAGTTGAAAAACTTTTCTAAAAGTTAAGAAGAAAAAAATTATAAAACTTAAAAAAAAATTATCTGTAAAACCTTCAAAAAAAAACCTACTTTAACCCTGAAAATACTTTAAAAACCTTTTCAAGGTATCTAGAATTTAAATATGCTGTTTTAAAGTTTTTAGAGAAGAACCTTTTAAATTATACAGAGAGTATATATATATCTTGAGTATCTTGAACATGAACTCTTCAAAACTGTATTTTTTTGAGTCCTTGAGAAGTCCCTGTTAATGTCACATAGTTTGAACAGAATATCTTATGTTCCTTAAAATAAAAGAACAATCTCCTACCACCTAGGGATCCTTTTAAAAATTTTTAAAGCACTAAGTCATTAAAAATTTCATAATTTCCTAAAATTCAATTAAAAAGATCTATGCATGTTTTGGGTTTATAATTCCCAGCCTAAAACTCGTAATATAGCTGGGGTTATTTTTATGTATAACTTTGTTTAATTTTGGTAGGAACAGACAAATAAATGTGTGCTAAACAATTAAAGATAATGAACCACATGTATAATAAAATCTTTTTTTATTAATCAAATAATTTATTAATCAATTACTGAACTAATTTACAACTTGTTCATTTTAAAATGACTTTTAATTAATAATGCTTTAATAACAAGAACTATAAGTGTGTATATAAATATTATAATTTAACTGTAAGAATTTTTATTTCTTTAAAATTTTAACTTTTCTTTATTTTAACTTTATTATAATTTTTATTATTATTTATTTAATCACGGCATGTTAAAAAAAAAAATAATTAGTAGCTTATCTTGAATAAACATTTGTAAATGAATAAACTTGTTCAGTTATAAAACTTTTTGATAATTCAAATGATATTTGAATTATAACCTATAAAATAACAAAATAAATGCAGTAGTTTAAAGAAGTGGCTATAAATAAGTGCTAGATCTAACTGAAGGTAGCTGAAGAGCTCTAACAAAAAGATCATACCATCACCATCCAGAGCATTCATAAGTATTATAAGATGCCTAACTAGATGCTTGTGTTCTGACACAACATCAATAAAAACAGAGAGAAATACTACCATAAAGACTATTACAATTTGTGACATGAAAAGACACTTGATTATGTGTAGGCGTCACATCTATAAAAGGCTTGTAGCTCATGGTACCACTTCTGTGAAAGGCATGTAGCTCATGCAACGGGGATGTTACTGTGTTATTATTACTGTGCTCACACAGTAAAAACGCCTAGAGTAATAATGATGATAATTGTTAACTGTAGAACTGAATCCTAACAACCGCGGAACTAAATGCTAATGAAAAACTTGAATAATTATTGGACCAATCATGTAAAATTAGCAAAAAATGAAAATTACCAGCAGCAATCCAAAAATCAAATCTTAAAAATATTTTTCCAAGAAAAAATTTATACAATAATTGATATAGCATATGATACAATCAGTCTTTAAGATTGAATTAATGAGTCTCGAGTCATCTTTGAGAAGTCTTGAGTCATCAAACCTTTATAATTAAATTAATGAAAATTAATTAATAGGAAAAAAATTTTAATGAGAATTTACTTTCAACAAGACTGATTTCAACAAGAAAAATTTACTTAAAATGTATTTTGTAAGCAACCACTATATAAGCTGTGAGTAAAAAAAAGTTATAGTGAAACAAAAAATTGACTTAAAAATCTGTTGTTTTCCCAAGATTTAAATTTTAGAGAGTATTAGATTCCCAAAAATTCTTCTGAGTGGTGAAATCATCAGAGATCAATAGGATGACTGACTGCATAGAAATGCGGTCAGCCAGTTTACCTACAATTTAATATTTTAAAATTACACTTTTAGAACAAGCATAACAATTAGTAGATGTACCACTAAGTACAATCCTGTTGAAGAGGTAGTAATAAAATCATGGTGAAACCATGAAAACACGTGTTAGAAACCATGAAAACACGTGTTAGAAACTGAAAACACGTGTTAGAAACTGTTAACAGGTTCTTCTGACAGAGGCAACTACATAGAAATGGAGATGGTCTCAGAAGTTCTTCATTCAATCCAAAAGAAGTTAAAAAAAAGATGCAATAATTAATAAATAAAAATCCCTTCTGTCAATAGTTTTCTGCCTGAAAAAGTATGGAACTGACTAGCACTAGCTATCTGAAACCAGATTTACCAACTTACCAAATGATTTTTGTCAGTGTTTAAAAAAATACTAAAATTTTGAATAATAATGAGCTTCGTAAAATCTGCTGAAGATTTAAATGACTCATCAGAACAACTCATTTAAATTAATGCAGAGTGTGAAGAATAAGGAGAACCTTCAGAAAATCCAAATAAAATTTTTGTGAAAAAAATCAGAAAGAAAATTACCTATAGTTACTACTCTTTAACTATTGGATCTGAGTTAACAACTTAAAACTCTTCGAATTGCTTCTAATAATATGGATGCTGGCAGTTTTAATCTGATACTTAAATGCAAACTCTGAACTATAAAAATTTATGTTTTTATTTATCTTATACTTTTTGAGGTGATTAAAAGCTGGTAATTGAGGTGATTTTATTTTTGAGTGATTGAGGCTAATAAAAGTCTAATAAATAGCTTTTGCACTCAATTGGAAATGTTAAGTTTAAAATTGTTGATACATTTTAATCTAGTTTGACTTTCAAAAAAAGATTAAAAGTCCCATACCCAACCTTTTTACTTTGTTACTATTTTGGGTTTAGGCTTGTTTGATCTTAGGCTAAACTATTTACACTAACTATTTCAAGAACATAGTGACATTTGTTTGAACAATGAACATTAAGACACATGGTAGACACCTACTAATTCTATCTGAAATTCACTCAAGAGAATTGAAAACTGTTCTCCATTTATTATTTTCTTTTTTTTTGTGCTTTGTGTTTTATCAGATATTTTTAGTCCTTGAACTATTTATAATATCTTTTTAACTTGAACTATTTGTAATTATCTTAATTATGTTTTTTAGTTGCAAATACAAAACAACCTAATAAACTTAATAACCAAGATGAAGGAAGGGAGTTCAAAAGAACTGATGTTCGAGGAAAAAAACTAGACAAATAAGAGTTTTTGGAGCACTTAGGAACAGTCACAGAAAAAGGATGAGACTTAATTGAATAACGAGTAACTCAAGAATGAATTTTAGTAGATGGCACAAGAGACACTAGCTCTTTAGAGCAGTGCCCATGATAGTATTTGTAGAAAAGAGAAAGAGAAGCAACATCACGGCGATGTGATAATGGTTGGAGGTTGGCTGCAAAAGCAGGTCCAACTATGTTTACAATGCGTTTTTGCGCCTTGTCTAATAGAGAAAGGGCATTGTAAGAAGATCCACCCTAGATATGGCAACAATATTCCATACAAGGACAGATTTGATATTTATATAACATGATTGTGTTTAATAAAAACATGTTTGTATTTAAAAATAATAATTTGTTATCAATCAAAAATTACTTATTTATTTTAATCAAAAATTAATTATTTTTGATTGATTAATTAATTAGTTCTTAATCACCTTTACTTATGAGTAGAGTAATTTTGTAATTTTTGTAAATAATTAGCAATTTGTAAATATTGTTATTGTAAACATGTTATCATGTTTACAATAACAATATTACAAAAATGTAATGCTGGAATAATTCTACATCAAATCACCCAATCAATTGAATCATGTCTCTTTTTTTTTAGCTTTAAATTTTAACATGTGAATTATATTTATACAAAAATATTGGATGCAAAGTTTCAGGTTAAATGTGCAGCAGTTTTAACACTAATTTTGGGAGGTTTTCTGAACCAATGTGGTTTTCATGGCAATTTATCCGTGTAAAATGAGAAATAACAACAATTAAAATATAAAAATGAGCATTTCAAATGCTTTTTTGATGCAAAATTCAGTACCTAAAATGCTAGTATGAAGAAAACGTGTTTAAAAATTAAAAAAACAATTTTTATAACAAATCTTTGCAAAACACCTTGAAACATTCCTGTGTAAAATTTTTTATGTTGCTTCTAATATCTTAAATTTCTTATAATTTTAAATGTTACTGGAAAATCAACAGGAACATGTAAAAGTATAATTTCTATAAAGCTAATGAATGATTAAGAGTAAAAAGTCTAGCAATTTCAGTAGAAAATTTTTTTAGGTAAAAATAATTCTTTACCTATTGATTTCTTATTTAGATTCTTTCTTTAGTAAAATTTATGATTTTTTTACTGATATTGTTAATTTTAATCAAATAAAATTTTACAAATAAATGCTGTTTTTCAACTAAACTTTTTATTAACTTTAATAAAATTTAAAATTTAATAAAATTGCAAATCCAATATATGCTAAAACAAGGTGTTGCATTATAAATGCATCATAAATGCTTATTTATATATTTTCAGATTTTATTAGACAAAATGTTTTGAAAAAGTGATTCAAAAGTCGGGTCATTTTCGGAAAACAACTTTATGCTAAAATTGCAATATCTTGGGAAACATTCAAGACTTTGCAGCAAAATTTTGTGTGTTAACTTTTTTTGTAAACAACATAAATTTTTTCAAGTATAAAGAAAAATAAAATGTATTAGAACAATAACAAAAATAGATTTTTTTTCATTGTTCTTCATTTTAATTTTTTTCTAAAATCAAATTTTAGAAAAAGATTAAAAAGAAAGAAAAGATTCAAAATATCAAACACATATCTAAAATCTTAAGATAGACAATTAAAACTAAAATTTTAAGGTTGGCGCTTAAAACTAAAATCTTAAGGTTTACACTTAAAACTAAAATCTTAAGGTTTACACTTAAAACTAAAATCTTAAGGTTTACACTTAAAACTAAAATCTTAAGGTTTACACTTAAAACTAAAATCTTAAAATTGGCACTCAAAACTAAAACCTTAAGATTAATACTCAAAACTATCAAACATATATCTAAATCCTTTATGCTAATGTAACATATATCTAAATCCTTTATGCTAATGTAACATATATCTAAATCCTTTATGCTAATGTAACATATATCTAAATCCTTTATGCTAATGTAACATATATCTAAATCCTTTATGCTAATGTAAGAAATTTCAGAAGTAATTTAACGCATAAGTTTGATATAATTGTTGTTGTGCTAAAATTTAATGTTCCATGTATTGCTATAGATCTAGATGCATAGATCATCATATATCATCACTAAAATCTTAACTTTAACAACAAAAATAATTAAAATATAAAGTGTTACATTACATAAGAAACAGACCTTCTGGATGAACTGGTCCCTCTGTCATAAGCTTTAAGATTGTTTTAGCATATTGAAAAGTTTGAGACTCATTTGGTGCTCCTGAATATTCACCATAGTTTGCAAGCTCACTGCTTCCACCAAACTGCACAACAGTATCACTAATATGCAAAACAATCACAATTTAAAGACAACTAAATAAAACAATCAACCGAATAGTTATCATGGCTATGAATAAGAAGATAATGAAAACATACAAATTAAATTTCTATATATTATATATAATATATTTCAAAATAAAATAATTGTTTACTTTAAAAGCCATAATTATCATTCTTTTATCTGACATTTATAAACTAGGTGTTTTGGTATGTTTTAGTGAGTCCAAATAATCGTATTTTCAGTTATCCGGGTAATCGAGTATTTATTTTTTCATTACCCGGGTACCGGGGTATCCAGGTAAAGGAAAAAAAAATTTACCCACACCATGTTGTGTTAATTAAATTTAAAATAAAATGCAACAGTTTTAGTTTTAAATCTATTTTTTATTTAAAAAATAATACTTTAAAAATACAAGTTTGTCAACCGTTTCCATTTTCAACTGATTTCGGGTTTTTGTGACAAAAGCTGAAGCTACCGAAAACACTCTTTCACTTACTGTTGATGTTGGTTGTATTGTCAATAATACTGTAAAAAGTTTTCCAATAGAGTCACCTCGTTTTGAACAATCTTTCTCCCACAACTTCATTTCTTTTTCCAATGTGGATTTTCTCTCATTATTTTCTTTCAGAAAAGTCATAATTCAATTGTTTTTTGGAGTTCATCATAATTTGAAACCAAACCATTATTTGAAATTATTTCTTCATTTTCAATTGTTAACTCTGTATCCATCTGTGTGTTTGCAAGATCTTCATTGAACAGGCTTTTGAAGGTTTCTTTAGCCAATAAATGAATAGAACTTTTTTTTAAATAAGTAAAATGGCAGTTAATATCTGGTTTAGGATAATTTCCAGATTGTAAAAAACGCAAGAGTGATACAACATCCTCATTTTGTCTTTCTTCAATTCTTTTCTTCAAAACAGTGAACATATCCATGGCTAACTGCGTATTTGTTTCTTTTAGTTTGTTTAGCAAAAAAATGCTCCTTCAGCTTTTAAAAGATTATTATTATCTTTACTGAGCTCTTTAACAGCAAGCTTAACCGGTTGTAAAACATGTGATATTTCTTCTAAAACTTTGATATTTTTTTCTGAACATTTTTGCTGACCTAATTCCATTAGAGCCTTTTGTATACAATTGTATATTTTTATGAAACGATTTACCATTGGTATTATTGAATGGAAATTCAATAATACCAATTCCCTCGCAATATCATATATATATATATATATATATATATATATATATATATATATATATATATATATATATATATATATATATATATATATATATATATATATATATATATATATATATATATATATATATTATTGAAAATTAAAATGGCAGTTAATAAGAAGAAAAAACAGTAAAATACCGATACTCGATTGATTAATAGTTAAATGAATGTGCAATATTTACATTTTTTTTGTTTAAATATTATACTCGATACTCGAAAAAAATATTCAGAGTAGTCGACTACTCGGAACTTGTTTATAAAGTATCAATTACTCAGGTACTCGGGTAATCGATAATCGTAATTGGATTCCCTAGTATGTTTTTATGACACATATTATGAATAGCTCAAAACCGAAATTTAAAATAACCTTCGGATGATAAATATATGCAGAAACAAATAAAACATAAAAAGTATTACGAGACTATTAAAGAAAAAAGAACCCCATTATAAAGACAACTTATATTTGCACTCTGATAGCTAAGATTGTTTTAGGGAATGTTTTATAATTTGAACAACCTTTTTTTCTAATCTCTTAATATGATAACTATGCTAAACTTTATAAGTTCTAGTTTCATTATTCCCTCCGATCAGGCTTTACTATTATCCAATAAAGCTTTTAACTTTTTTTTTATGTATAAGGTATTGGAGTATGGGTTGATAAAGAACTGAATATGTGCATAGAAAAATAGAAAAGTTGTAGAAGAAGTACTATGATCTCCAAAAAATATATATTTTAATATAAACAAGATAACTTTATTACAACAACTTTTACTTTAACTAGTTATTAATCAGTTTAAATTTGGTTTTAAATTAGATTTTTTTAAAAACCACTTAACCAGTTCTAATGAACTTTTAAATGATGGAAATGTAGGTAGTTTTTTGTGCATGGGTTTTACATCTGATTAGTTTTTGCAATATTGAGTAAAAAGTTTAAAAAGTGAAAAAATATATTTTTTAAATATTATACATATTTAAAGAACATCCATTATGCTCATATTCAGTAAATTCAAAAGTATGTAAAGTTCCAAAATCAACCGTTGAAATTGTCATAAAACATTTTAAGGAGAATAAAACTATAAACAGAAAACAAGGAAGTGGTGGACAATCAAGATTTAATGACAAAAAGAAGGTAAAATCAATAGTTGATTCGATTCACAAAATCTAAATCAGTCACAACAAGAAAAATCCAAAAGCTTATCACAAGAAAAAAATAGCAAAAAGGTTGTTTAATGAAGATATGAAGGCAATAAGACAAGCAAAAAATTTGCTTAAATTAGTGATAAAAAAAAGTGATAAAAAAACTCAATACTATTATCACTCAAAATGCTGTAAAGTACCTTACAGATTCAAGTACATTCAAGTCAAAAAAATTGCACTTAAGTTATTTGTATGGCAGGCTATTTACAGATGAGGCTTTAAAAGCTCTCTTTTCATAACCAATCAAACTTTGACATCAAATCTATATGCAACTGAATGCTTGGAAAAACTATTTCTCTTACTAATTAAAAAAATTAATGACCACATTTATTTGGGCCAGATCTTGCATTGACCCACTACTGCAAAAAAGAAATAAATTGGTATAAAATGTCAACGTAGTCCTAAATGATACTTATCCACTAAATGACTCTGAGCATAAATTCGATAAATTTTATTGAGCAATGTTAAGGAAATGTCAAAAGTGAGGACAAATCAAAATAAAAAAAAATGTTGAAAAAATGTGCCAAAGTGTTATAAAAAAAATTATAGGTTTACGTCACAAAAAAAGTGACACAGAGTCAAATGGCAGATTTAATGATTTGGGAGTACTTGACATAATGATTTGGGGGTACTGGACAAAAAATTAATTTTTTTTTTTATTTCAATAAAAAAATTATTTCAATAAAAAAAATGTTAGTTATGCGGAAGTCCACAATTATGAACACATTTATGAAAACAAATAAACAATCTACAAGTGAAAACAAGTGAACAATCTGATTTGACTAAACAAAAAGTCTGAGATTGAAAAAAAATAACTTTTTAGGGCTGGTAATTCTTATCTCAAAAACATGATCAGCAAAGATCCCTAAAAGACTAGATTTAAAATTTATTGAAAATCAGGAAGGTGAAAGAAAGTTTGTCACAGAGGATATTAAGTATTGAAAAAAAGTATTCAATGTTTTTAGTTAATTAATTTAGCTCTGGTTCAACCTCTGTTAATTTATTCTCTTTTCCTAAAATTCTAAAATTAAAAACAACAATTTTTCTGTAAATTAGGCAAAAGAAAGCATTAGGAAGATAATAGCATTCACATTCTAAGAAATTTAGAGATAAGATACCCAATATAAAACTTATAGACACAATTCTAAGCGAGGATGCTTTAATTGAATCTGATTTCAATCCAGGTGATTGGTATCATATAGACATCTCTAAAAACCCAGACACTGTAATTGCAAAAATTTTACAAAAGATATGTATTCTGGTACTGTTTTGGTTACTGCCACAGTCTGTGATGTATTGCCATATCAAGTATTGATCTTAAAGATGTTCCAACCAGTCAGTCTACTACATATTAAAAAAAATATATAGAAAATGAAAAGATGTCAACCATTACAAAATAAAAAATGTTAAAGTAGCAATTGATGAATATCTATATCCATGTATAATTGTTTGAGCTAAACAATTATACATGGATATTTCACTTATATCACTTAAAAACTTATGGAATATGCTTTGATACAACATCATCCAATACTGAGACAAATAAAAAATTAGTTTCCAGAATATCTAAAGAACTAAATAATTCACTCATATAAGCCTGTAGGTCTCATATGAGTGAATTAAGAATGCTTCATTTTCTGAAATGTTGACTAATGACAAAACTAATGGACCTGAAAGTCCTCTTTTCAAAAAAAAAATTTAATTGTTAATTTGTTACGATTTAATTGGAAATAGGTTAAAAGATCTTTTTAAAAAGTCATTAACATTTTTCAGAGCTTATGTCAGTAAAACAAATGAGATGATAAAAGCCAGTTTGCAGTTAATTGTCATTTAAATATCTATAAAAAAAAACCTTTTATTCAACAAAAACAAAATATTTATACCAATGCCTATGTGAACATTATTTTTTAGAGTTTTGAGGATTTGAAAAAGATATTTATAAGGAGGCTAAATATACACAAACATCCTTAAGCATACATGAACTTATAAAACAAGTATACCTTACTATATTATACAACATATTAACATATTATAACATAATATACAACAAGTATACCTGTATATAAAGCTGTATTATCTCATAAAACTATTTTACCTGTATACAACAGAAGCACCCCCACCAGCAACCATTGTCCATATTCTACCATTTTTATTCAAAATAGTAAACTTCAATGAAGCTCCACTTTTGCAATCAAGATCAGCTATGAAATCTTCCTGAATTGTATTTAAAATAACAAAATAAATGTTTTATGAATTTTAGACAGACATTCATAGGAAGAGAGTCTTTCTAAAATTTAAAAGAAACAATGATTATAGATTTATAATAAATTAATATTTATTATTTTCATGTTTAATTATAACTATATTTACATTTAAATATATTGTACCAAGTTTTTATTACAAAGTCTTTTTTGTAAGTATTTTCAAATTGTTCATTATATTCACTATACAGGATAATAAAGTAAAAAGAACCTCTGGATAAGCTTCCCTTCCAAAAGGGGGAGGAAACTTCAGTTTAGTTTTACCCCACTTGGTGCTACATAAATAATCAGCAGTTGTATCTATTTTAGCTGCCATATCAAGAATAAAAATTCCATCATTGTTTACAACAATAGGATTAATTTCCATATAAGTAAAATGTAGGTCTACATAAATGTCATAAAGATTTTTAATAAAAGCTGCAAGGGTTGATTTATTTTCATCAGAAACGCTTGGTAAAAGTTGACATTGAATCTGAGAGACATTTACTTGATCTCCAATACAAACTGATAACTTTAAAGCCTAAAAGAGCAAGAATTTTAAAAATTTAGTAAATATCATGGAATATATATATATATATATATATATATATATATATATATATATATATATATATATATATATATATATATATATATATATATATATATATATATATATATATATATATATATATATATATATTTGCAATATTTCGTTGACCTATAGCGGTCAGCATCATCAGGTGTAATAAAAAACATTTTTAAAATGTTACAAAATTACTTAAATCAAGCCGCCAAAAAAAAGACATTACAGGTGTAAAATAAAAGCAATTTTTATAAAAGAATGTCATGTCAGTTGAAATTTGACCAAAATAGATTTCAAGTACTCTTGTTTTTATTCATTATACTTTCAATAAAGATTTCAAAAAAATAGAAATTTAAATACTTTATGTCTGAGGCTTTATCACAAGGCTATATACATACATACATACATACATACATACATACATACATACATACATACATACATACATACATATATATATATACATATATATATATATATATATATATATATATATATATATATATATATATATATATATATATATATATATATATATTCTTTTTTTTTTTCAACATCTTCACTTCCAATAAGGCTACAAGCAACTATTATTAGAGTTGGAAGTTAGTGGAAGTGAAAAGATGAAAATAGCTCTTTAGAGCAGTAACATTATAGTATTTACAGAAAAGAATAAGAGAAGCAACATTACAACAATGTAATAATGGTTGGAGTTGCAAGAACAGGTCCAACTATGTCTACAGTGCAGTTTTGCACATTGTCTAAAAGAGAAAGGGCATCATTCAAAGATCCGCCCTTGATATAGTAACAGTATTCCAGCCTTCATCTTCTAGGATTAATTCTTACTTCTGAACTTTTTTTGTAAATCAAATTGATTGCAAAATTGGCTTTTAATTTAACAAATTTAAAAATTATTCATTTTTAAATTTGTTAAAGAGCTTGATTTAAAACACAGATACTCAGTACACTACTTGATAGTCCGAGCAATTGCCTTATTGCCTTAATTAACCATAAGCCATAATAAAGGGCTCCAAGTGTGGCCTCAAAAATGCACACCAAAAGTAAAAACAAGAACACCATCCATGCATAACATGGCACTGTTAGTACTTTGTTATTTTACAGCTGTTGATGGAATAAGCATCCCTGAGAGCTACCACAGAATTCGGGAAACCTAAATACCAGCCGGCTTCAGAACCATAAAACTGAGTTTTAGAGCTGTACCCTCATTAGGAGATATTAGAATGAGTTGCCTAGTCATAAAAACAGAGACACAAGCAAAACTCATTCATTGAGTCATGAAGATCCAGCATTTAAAATTACTAAACTTTAAATAAAAATGAAAATGATGTACATTATAAACAAAAAACTGGAAACAAAACATTATAATTACATCTACAGCAACCTAATAGATGAATATATATCTATATCTTCATATATATATATATATATATATATATATATATATATATATATATATATATATATATATATATATATATATATATATATATATATATATATATCTTTATATATCTATATATATATCTACATATATATATATATATATATATATATATATATATATATATATATATATATATATAATTAAAATATTAAGCTACAGAAGAAAAATTGAAAAAAAATTAATCTAAGCAAATCAATAATAGCAATAATACAGAGTTCCCACTAAATAAAATAATTCAAAATTCAGGACTTTCCATGATTTTCCAGGACAATTTTGGTAATTTTCAAGGACATTTGCTTTGTTATTTCTAGGACTTACAAAAAAAAAAGTTATGAATTTCAGGACTAAATATTTCTTTGATGATAGCCCGAAAAAACAGAAAATGATTTCAACGGGAAGAAACAAAGAGTTTATGAAAGAGTCTAACAAAATAAAGAAACAGAGTTTCTTTATTTTGTTAGACGCTTTCATAAGAATAAAAGTACTTTACTTTTCAGCATTTATATCTAGCATATCAAACTCTTAAATTAAAGACAATATTTCACTTTGCAAGATTCTGCACTTTGTGTTAACTGCTTTTTTCATATAATTTTTTTTTGTTTTAAATTTTTCTAGATTCTTTTTTTTGTTTTTGGGATTGCAAATACTCTCTATATCTGCTCTTTTTACATGTTGCAGCATTTCTTTATTGATTTTGATAGCTGACTCTTTTTTTGAATATAACTAAATTTTTTCTATACGCGCTTATCATCTTTAAATTAAAAAATTATAAAAGATATAACTTTACTTGTAAAACAAATATTTACATTAAGTAGAATAAAAAACTAATATTGTCAAAATATTACAAATGATTTGGGATTATGCTTTTTAATGATTTTTACAGAAAACCTGTCTTGGGTCAACTAAAACTCTATTACTTATCTTTATACTTGATTATCAAAGTTTAGAACACTTATTAATGAATGCCTTTTTTCATCTAATTTTTGTTTGACATTTAAATTTTTTTTTACAAATAGTCAGTTTTTAATGCATTTATATTTTTGTTTGTACTTGTTTTTAGTGAAAATGTAATATTTTTGTAATGTCCACCAAATTATTAAAATTTTAACCCTATGAACATGAAAATCCAAAAATAATTTTTTTATATCTTTAGCTATGTTATAAAGAATGATTTAGCTATGTTATAAAGCTTTAGCTGTTATAAAGAATGATTTCAAACTTGTCTTATTTAACAAAAAAAGTCTGAGTTTTTTTTGTTTATATTTTTAAGCATCTATGTAACCTTTAATGTGTTACGTTCAAAGCTATTATCTAACGAATTTTATTCAAACAACTGTTTTGGCAAGACAAACTTTGAAGTAAAAAATTAACAAAATTATATGGAAATTTTATCTTTGAATAATTAGACTTATTTGAATTATTAACATCTTAAAGGTTGTTAAATCCTCTTTTATCAATTGCATTTATTTGTCATCAAGTATTATTTCATTTTTTTGTGTCATATTGCTATTTGACAAGAACAAGAAATGTGGACAAAGTATCTCAGTAAAGAACATAAAGAGATAAAGGCGGGAAATATATGATATTTCATTTTGAAGTTGTCGATTTTATTATCTGGATCTCTGTATAATGTTAATTTACATTATACAGAGATCCAGATAATTTAATAAAAATCCAGATAATCCTAAGAAAAACAATACAATCTTTGGGAAGAGCTCACAGTGATAACTTTGTGAAAATAGACAGTAGAAACATAAGAACTCGAGAAAAGTTTTAAAATTAAATTATTGCTCCTGTGATTTTTTTAAAAACGATTTCATAAAATGTAGTGCCTCCTGTTTTGCATATTATGTTAGGAATAGTGTTAAAGCTGTATAAATTATTGTTAAAGGAATGTCAGACCTAATTTTCAAGCTGATTTATCATTAATATAAGCTGCTGAAAGCGTTGAATATTCTAACACAGAAGAAGCTTTGAACATGTGATATAGAGAACATGTGATATAGAGAACATAAGGTGTTTAAGTTATCAGGGTGAAGATAAAGAAAGTCTTGATGCTTATATTTCTGAAAAAATTGCTTTCATAAGAACACAATGTGAAGTTTTAAATGTTTTAAGGGTTATGAAAAAAAATATAATAATAATAACATAGGGTCTCATGAACTCTTCTTCAGACCTTAAATGATATATGGAGGTTGAGCCATACCTTTACCATGGAAATTTATTTGCAAGTAATCATTGCAAAATAGTCTTAAGAAACTACTATAAACTTTGTTGTGTTTTAATAATGTAGCGATTAGGAACAATAATGATGTAGCAATGAGGAATAAATTTTTTTATGTATTTTGTGTTTTTAATAAGTTATACAATACTTTTTAAGAAAAAATGTTTTTATGATACTGAAATAAGTGAGCTTTTTATAATATAAATTTATTTGCTTATTTAGTTTTATGCTTGATTTTCAAAAAAAAAATCTCAAATAATTACTCAAAAAATGCATACTATAAATTTGTTGAATGAAGAAGAAGAAGATTGACATAACTGCATAAATAATTATTTTATTTTAATTAAGTCATTTTTTTGCATTTTTTTGTTTAATTTTTTTTATCTTATTAATTAAATATTGTGTAATGTTCTTTTGACGTATTACATTGATGAACATAAGTTATGATTAAAAATATCTTATAAATTGTTTATAATATTTATTAACATACTACATTAAGGATCATCCATAAACTACACAATGCTAAACTTATTTAAAAAATAGAAGTAGGAGATCTTAAGTTCTTTTACGCTGCAATTTTCATTTAACTCAATGCGTTATAATGATTTGAATACTAATTAATAAAAAATAAAAAACAAATCGCCTATATGCTTGTGACTTATAAAAGCCTATTCAGTTTTATGAAATTTTTCAAAGAATACTTTCAAAAACGTCTTACAGCATATTTGCAAATTTTATTGAAAATCACTATATAAATAAGAAAATCTATTTTTTTAAATTATTTTATTATATAAAATTATGCATTTCTTTATAGCATACAGTTTTTTCAAAAAAAGAAGAAAAAAACAAAGAATAATGGAAAAAAAGACGCTACCCCATCCCAAGCCCTCAGTAAATGTAGCAACACTCTTTTGCAGCAGCAGGCTATAAGATAGTTGATGTATGTACTAAACCCCCCAACTTCAGTAAATACATTAACTTAGGGGTTGGGTATAGGCAGGTACTCTTAAAAAAAAACTTTTTTTTATAGTATTCTTTGTTTATTTTTTCTTTTTCTGAAAAACTAAATCATAATTTTAGCTAACCAATGAATTATTAAAAATAATTCATTGGTTAGCTAAAATAGGAACTCTTAAATACAATTTCAAGGAAACTGATCTTAAAGTTTTATTATTTTCAGCTCAGTTAGTAGTTAGAGAGTGTCAGACTTCTTCATCAACTGTAAGAACATCTTTTCCATTTCACAGACATTAAATAATTTTTTTTTGTCAAATTAGGTTTAAACTTTTTTTTACGAAAATTTGTTTTTTTATAAATCATGTTAATTTAGAATGTAAAGTTGGCATATTATTTAATCTTATGCTGCACTCATTTTTATCAAAAAACAATGCATTTACTAAATTTTTCTGAAGAAAACAAAAAACTTGGATTAAATTGCGATAAAAAGGATGGTTAATCTAAACTCAAATCTATTTCTAAACTGACTTAGAACCCAAATCTATTTCTTAACTGTGTGTGTGTTCAACCAATAAAAAAAAAATAAAAACCTAATTGTTGTAAATTTAGAAAAATTACTTTCAAAAGTCATGTGGTGACTATTATGTTGATCGAATTGCAGAATAATAAACATTTAAAATATAAAATAAAAAATGTGCCATGAAGTATCTGGAAATAAATTGTAAACAAAAATTAATACAAATTATTTTATTTGAATAAAACTTCAAAAATAAATTGATCTTTTGTATAGAATGAGTCACATTTTTTAAAGTTTAAAAAAATAAAAAATATTGAAGTAAAGAGTTTTTTTTTTAAAAAAAACCTTCATTAAGTTCATTAAGTTCTTCTGGCAGGGCTACCTATTCTAAAATTGAAAATATCATTATTTGGATACTTCTGCTATATACACCACAATATGTACTGAAATAAAATACTCCATATAATTTTCAAGTTTGACTTTTTTTGTAAATGTTATTCAAGATGATTCCATGATATAAGTTTAAAAATAAATTAAAGTTAAACCTTATGCATGGCTTTAAGGTATTGTTATATATATATATATATATATATATATATATATATATATATATATATATATATATATATATATATATATATATATATATATATATATATTCACATATACTTTACCTTAGAATCTATATCTCCTACTTCAATCCCTCCTTGATGATGAAAAAGAATTACATCCTGGTCACGCTCAGACAGTATACAAACATACATTTCTTCAACCTAGTGATTTAAAAAAACTGAAACTCGTAGAGTAAATAAGTATTTCAAAATAAAATAGAGATTAAAATTGAATTGCTCACTCACCATATGATGCCCAATGAAAGGCTCAACAATAAAATGTTTTATGAAACCTTTTGCTCTATCCACCTACACATTTAAAATAAAAACTTATTTTATTTACAAAAAATAAAAAATTAACTTAAATAACTACAACAAAATTAAAACACACCTACATGCAATTATTGAAGAAACAATATATTACAAATATTGTACAATAAAAGCATTTGCATTTTGCATGTAATGATTTATAAATTCTTGTCAGCTTAAGACGTTTGAACAACCAACCTTGTGAATGCCATCAAAAACTTATCTTGAGTATGATTTAAACCAGAGTGTACAACTGTTTTTCATAATATAAATGTTAAGGGCTCCTTAACATTGATATTACGGAAAATTAGACTAAAAACAAGTTTGTCCAATTTACAAAACTCACATACTTTCCCTAACTTTATGACTTTATGACAAATTCAGTATTAAGAAGTTTTTTAAAAATATTACAAATATGGTTATAGCTCGTTTCATTCCATTATAATGCGATAAATATTTGTCATAATAAACAATATATAAAAAAAAAACAACTAATAATTGTAATAATACATAAAAAAATTGATAGTAAATTTTTTTAAATTCATCTTTTAAACCTTAATCTTATTTTTTATATTTGACATTTTTTAATCATTAAGTAAATACTTTTATATTTTATTTAAACTCATATTTCCCTGAGCAATCTCAGCCTAAACTTTATTAAAAAAATTTCTTTCTTAATTTATATACAAAGAAATTTAAGTAACTCTTTTATGTATACATTAAGTTATGCAGTAAAAAACAATAAATAATTAACTGTTTTTTTAAAACTTGTTACAAATATATAAACCTTGATCAAAAAATATCAAAATAAACAACACACATATACAAATATATATACACAGTTATTTATCTACAATATTTATATGCCTATTTGGCATATATATATATATATATATATATATATATATATATATACATATATATATATATATATATATATATATATATATAAATTTATATACATATATATATATGTATATATATATATATATATATATATATATATATATATATATATATATATATATATATATATATGTGTGTGTGTATATACATATATATATATATATATTTATATATATATACAACCCTCGGAATTAGGAAAAATGGGGTCGGCAAATTCTCTCCTTACAACATCTTAATCTTGTGAACCGATCTCTGGCTGTCTAAGCTGTTTAACATATAATATAGGCTTTCTAAAAGCTGCTATTTCTCTATTACTGATCATTGAGCCATCCTTCATACCTATTATTTGCCACTTTGTTGCTTTGCTTACTGCTATTCAACCCATTTCTATTTATATTTACTTTTATATAAAATAAAAAACAAATTTTTTTTAAATACTTAAAAAGGCTTTAAATGTGGTCATCATAAGTAATTTAAAAAACTAGTCATCATAAGTATTTTTATCAAACTTTTTATAGGAAATTATCAAACTATCATATAAGTTAATAAAATAATTATAAATTACCGTTGGGTTGACAAGAAAGTAGAACGAAAATTAATTAAAAAGTTTGTGCCTTTTTAATTGATTTTGTGTGATTTTTTTAACAATCTTTTTTGGTAGGTTTTTTGTATTCCTTTGAAAAAAGTAAATTATAAAAAGTAACTAAATATGAACTTGTTATTGACATGTTAATTGTAGAGAAACAATTTTGTTAATAATAACTCAATTTTTTACTGTCTATTTTTTTGAAAGCACTGTATATATTATATACTGTTTGTCAGTCCTGCCTATATTATTGCAAATATACAGTTATTTGCAAAAGTGTATATATATATATATATATATATATATATATATATATATATATATATATATATATATATATATATATATATATATATATATATATATATATATATATATATATATATATAGGCCTTGGCGGGAAGCGAGAGCTTTAGCTCTCTCACACACTCAGTGTTTTTGTTTCAAATACACATTTTAAAACTGTACAACACCTGATGGCAGCAAGTAGAAATTAGTAATTCCCTGTCTAGTTTTTGTTTCAAGATTTAGCAATACAAAATAGTTGTTACCATAAACTCATGTTTTTCTGAAAAAACTAAATTTTCCCTAAAGGTTTGATACTTTATATATATATCAAGGTGTAAACTAGCCCTATGGCGCCCCGTCAAACGCAGTATTCCCAAATGCTCATAAAATTAAAATTCCCAATTTAAAGGTAAAAAAATCCCATACTCGAAATAAACTTTGCTAAATTAAAGTTTAATAATAGTTCTGAAAATTATTGAAAATTAAATATTATTAAAAACTAATAAAAAAAAAAAATTTAATTTAATAATTGCGTAAAACTTGAAATAAAATTGCCATTATTGGTATATTTACGCAATTGAGCTCTGAAAATGTCTCTTCGACAAAACTTCTTGAGAATTGGGATTTTCCAAGCGATTTTAGGGATTTTTCCTGTAACTTGCTTGTGAAATTAATTTCTCATATTTTGCAAAAATTTTTTGCAATGCATTCCAACATCAGTAAATATTATATAAAAAAGTCAGCAAGAAAAAAAGCACTAATCTAAAAAAATTTAAAACAATAAATTTGTTCGGTTTAGAACCCACAAATGCTATTTCTTTAAAAGTTTCGACATTTTTGGTTGAAAAGTTAAATAACTTATTAAGTCTTACTGCAAACTCAACTTTAAGTAGTACATGTGCTTCGTCAACAAAAATATTGACAAGCCTTTATGTCAGATACTTTCCAAATTTTAATCAATTACTGGTATTACGGAAAGGAGTCGTCTATAAATTACGCAACGCGAAAAAATTTTAAAAAACATAAGTCGCAGATTTTAACCTCTTTTATGCTGCGATTTTCATTAAACTGAAAGACCTTATGTGGGAAAACGTTTTTTTGTTTTATTTATTGTAAAAGTTTTCATTATGTAATTAATGGACAATTCCTAAGTCTTTTAGTTATAGTTTTTCATTTTTTATTATTTATATCAACTGAATTATGTGATCACATCGATTAAAATCTTTCTTCACTTATCTACTAATTAATTCACTAATTAATTCAATAACTTTTTTAAAAAAGAATTTAAATAATAATTAGAAGTAGAAGATCATTGGCTTTCTTTTGCTTTTATTTCTTGAAATAAAAGCAAAAAAAATAAAAAAAATTAAGATTAAAAGTAAATTAATTATATTATTCTTAATAATTATTTAATATACACTCATTATTTTATTATAGAAAAATATAAAGTTCCTAATATATATTTGGAAATCGGACCTTAATTTGCTGTGCCATTATGAAACCTTGTTTAATTTTGTGTTGATTTTATTTTCATCATCAATGTTACAAGACAGTATTTTATTTTATTTTTGGCGTTGTTTAATAAATATATGCAGAACTGAAGTGGAGTAGAAACAAAAAAGAATATAGGGAAAAAACCCCACGCATTCCCGGAACACATTTTAATCTCAGCGGAGAGGGGGGGTGGGGTGGCTGCAGGATTTTGACAAATTCCCAATTTCGTTAAAACGCTGTTTAAAGTTTATTCCTGGTTAACACCCTGACTATATATATATATATATATATATATCAGGCCTTGTTTTAAATAAAAAAGTGCTTAATGCATTAGCTTAACGCAATTTTGACGTCATAAAATTATCTTTATTTTTTTTTATAGACGTTAAGTGTTTTAACTACCGCAATAAATAAATAACCGCAAACTAGTTCAATTTAACAATTAACTCAAATATAAACTATAAACGTTTTAAATATAAATTTATTATGAATTTTGTAATGTTTTCAATTGTTATTATATTATTAATTTTAGTTCAATATTATTTAGTAAAATATATATATATATATATATATATATATATATATATATATATATATATATTAATTATTTCTGAAATTTGTTTTTGAATAATTGTTTTTAATCGTTATTGAATAAAAAATAATGATTTTTTTTATTTTTAAAAATTTCTAGAGTAAACAAAAAATATTAACATTGATAAACACAAACCCATGTTAATTATTTAAACAACAATTTTGTTTTGACTAGCAAAGAAAAATTTAAGTTTTTAAATATTTTTTAAATTTTTAAAAGCGTTTCAACTTGCGTTTTATAAAAATATAAAAAAGTTTTGTCTGCTTTGAGCATATTTTTGATACGTAGTTTAGAACGCGTTCGCTAGGAATTTAATTCATAAATTTTTTATGTTATTGTAAAAATATTTAACTTTTTAAACAAATCACAAAAAAACAGAGCTATAGAGAAAAATCGTTTTCAACGATTAAATCTTTTTTTTTTTTAATTTTAGGAAATAAAATAAAAAAATTAAATTAAATATAAAAGACTTAATTATGCAAACTCTTTTGTTAATTATTCTTAAAACAAAAAAACAAATACTATTACGCCAAACTTTAATCGTGCAAACTTAAAAAAATACTCAACTGAAATAATTTAAGTATATTTAATAATTTGAATCGTATCTGCTTATAATAAACTTTCGTAAAAAATTTTGTTTATCAAAAATTAAGCTCCTTAACTTATAAACACAAAAATATTTTCATTCTACGTATAATTACAAAACTCTTTTTTTTTTTTCGTTTGTAAGCAATTTAACTTAATAAAATAAAAAAAAAGAATAAATATGAGGTAATCTTTGTTAAGAATAAATTTAATTTATTTATTGAACTATATTTTTATTTTTAATTATATATCAACTTAATTAAAATATAGTAACATGTTAAAATATTTTAACATGACTTGTATTATTTATACACCGTTGGGCAGTTGCCCTTACTGCACTATTGTTTTTGGATATTATTTTATTTTGATGAAGATCACATAACTTACATTTGATTTTAATAACGTAAGTCTTCTCTTTTTCTGTGATCATCGCATTGGCAAAGCATCGGCAAAGTCCCAAGATTTAAAAGTTTTTAAAGTAAATCTTTTGTCCTTCAAAATACAATCCATATTCGAACTTTAAACAATTTAGAGATAATAGAAATATAC